CTTGTTGCGTCGACGCACAGTGGACCAACTCAATTGGAGAGGACGGATGTTATTTAAAAACTTTAAAAGCGTATATGTTCATTGATTTGAAATTTTGATGTTTTAAATGTAGTTTCATGGGTTTTTTCGTAAAATTCTCAACAAGAATCACCCCTTAAAATTAAAATTATGACGAGATAAACGTAAAATTTTACAATTTTTGTGAAAAATTTCATATCCGACTTCTTCGAAAGACGCGTTTGTTTCACTGTGCGACGTCAAAGACCACGTTTCCGCTGCTGCTGGTGTGATGGGGTGGAGGGGCGCAGGCAGCACTGTGCGTCGATAATATCAACCCCTATAACTGGGAGGTATGCCTCTCAGCCTGAGGGCGAGATTGTTGCACAACAGAGGAGCAAAAGTGCACGCGCCACGTGCCGCCTCACTGATTTCGCAATGCAGAGTGTGCACGGTTGTCATGGAAATACTTGTTGCAAGTTTTTCATGTAGATCAGGCTATTTTTAAACGTCGCGATCCACTGCACTATGCCTTTAAACCATAGTTCATTAGATGCAAAATTACTCGAAAATTCTATCTCACGCCTCCTCAAAAGGATTAGCCCTTGCGGGCTGTTTAAAGTAAAAAAAAATAAATAAATAAATAAAAAACATTGCTGTCTCTTGGTGGATACGAAACGAACAATGAATCGTCAAAAAATGTAAAAAAAAATGGCAACTTAGTTTCAAACCAGTGCGATTTTTCCGTTGAAAAATGCTACTTAGGTACAGGTAAACCCGTCAAATATCCGAGAGTCAGACTTCCTATAAACCCGCGTCTCAATATGCTACAGATTCCGTATCACAATCTTACTCTACCTTGTTTCACGACAGGGTACCTATTTGTAGACTGCAAATGACTTGGTAACACACAACGGGACGGTCCCACAAAAAGTAGCGCTAAAGCTAAAAACGAAATTCTCTAAAACACTACTTGAGTGCTTGGAGTTGTTATTTAAGTTTCAAATGGTAAAAAAATGGTTTTTAAAATGCCTTCTAAATCCAAGGTATACTGAAACATTTCCGGAGAGCTTGAATAGTTGTGTTTGATCCTATGCTGGTGGATTGCCTATTGAAATCTGGGGATTCACAATGAATGGTGTTACAAAACGGTAACGCAGAAAACGCCTTCAAGGTACGAGGTATGTACAAACTTGTCCGAAGAGCTCGAATAGTTGCATGCAGTTCCTGAAATATCATTTCCCTCGCAAGAACTCCTTCTCTTTAAGAACACTATGGATCCACTTCGATCACATCTCTACACCATCGAGTAAAAAGAGGGCGATTCTAAACTGCACCCACGAGGCTCGGTCGGTTCGTTGAGCTGGGTCTCACCGAATCAGATTGTCACGGGTGTTGTGCCTCGATATTATCGGATGAATAATATTTCGTGCAAAGGACGGCGGTGGAGGCGAAGGCCTCGTATGCTTTTGGTATTGTGTGTCGGCACAGCATCGGTAATTCGATACGTTCACCATCTGAGAAGAATATGCCGCCTTGAGCCGAGACGTCGTCGGACGGAAATGAAGTTTACAGCGAGGGTGCGGCGCCGCATGCGCCACGATATACACCCCGGCCGCAATGTTTACACTGACGCTCACAATCGGTCGAGGTGGAAGATAATTTTGAGTTAAATAAACGCCACGACTTTCGGATCGATGCGGTGGATCCCTCGTGACAACGACGAACAGTGGCTCGAGTCAATTAGAGGGTCGGACATGCAATTTTTGACTCAAACTTCAAATTATGATGTTTAATTTGTCAAATTTTGGAGTTTACATGGAGAAAAAAACTTCGTGCGTGGGACCCGAAGTTGAGGTCATATGGATCTCTGAAGTTTTCGGATCCCGTATCTAAAAACTTGATGTCCAGCTGCCGAAGTACGGGTTAGACATCTGAAGTACTCCGGTAGATACCGAAGTGCCTCGATGTCTTATTACCCGAACTTCGGCAGCTCGGCCTCAAGTTTTCGGATGCGTGATCAGAAATCTTCAGAGATCCATATGACCTCAACTTCGAGTCCCTTGCACGAAGTTTTTTTCTCCGTGTAAGTGGTGCTTTTAAAGGAAAATATCCTGAGGAAACCAATGGAACCACTTTTAAAACCTCAAACTTTTGTATGACCGGAGTTATGAGCTTTTAAAGTCTCCAAATTTTGTCCGACCTCTCCCATTGGCTCGATCCACTGTGCGAAGGTTAAAAAGCGTTTTTCAAAAACTCTTGAAACACGTGCCAAAAAATGATGTTCTAGTTGTATCAGGGTTGTAATGTTTTAGGGAACCCTTTTTGGATATTTTTTGGGATAAAATTCAGGTAAAAAGGTATTTGAAAATACTTTTTCAGGGGTTTTTTCACTTTTTCATCAGACATTTTAAGTGTTACAAGTAGTGTGCTCTAGAGAGTAAAGCAATTTTTTAAGAGTTTTTTGCTCAAATTTGACCTTTTGTAAATAATGCTCAAAAAACGCGCAAGAAAGGTTTCCGCAAGTATAAATTCTGACATTTTTTTTAAGAGTTATGTTTTTTAAAGAGTTATGTCCAGAGAATGGCAGGAGACAGGTTGCCGAAGAAGGTCCTTGACTGGGTTCCTCCTGGGAGAAGACGCAGAGGGCGCCCAATAAAAGGTTGGAGGGAAGGGATTGAAGCGGAAATGTTAAGGTGCTCAATCCCCCAAGATTTGTGGTTTGAAAGAGAGCAGTGGAGGTTAGGGGTCGTAGAGCGCGAGGGAGTGCTGTAAAGCGACTTATATGTATGTATGTATGTTTTTTAAAATTCCATTATTTTATGAAAGAACTTTAATTTTACTTTCACAGCAGGCAAGGGTCATCAGAAGATTGGCGGAGCTAAGGCGTTAATATTTTTCAATTCTGTATGTGTTGCCTTGTAGTTCACATCGAACAAACAAAAAGATATGAATTGCGTACGACTTTACTATGAGGGTTAAAAGACACTCAAGACTACAACATAGAATTCTATTTAACGGGAGTTTTCAACAGTTCTTGTAACTTTTTGAGTCCTAAATGGATCACACGAATGCTACCCTCACACTTCTATTTATTTGAAAGGATTACTCCAATATCCATCGAGTTTAACACGGCTACTTGCACCCACTCAAAAATAAGCTGCAACTCATGACTCGCTAATATCCGCACTGTCAGCCCTATTCGGCAATGCCCATCATTCATCGCACTCTTTTACAATTTCCGCAGGAAGGACACAAGATAGTATTTCGCTAGGCTTTTCAAAATCTCAGTGTACTCCCCACTAATCTTTGTCTCGTCTCTTCCCCTTTCGTCAAAATTATCTCAAATGGAAATTAAAAAATGCGAGTAAAATACAGACAACTAAGTGTGTTGCGAAAAGGATAGCGTCTCATTCATGGAATAAAATTAGAGGGAAAAACAACAGTCTAAAGACCGGTTTACTGGTATGACGAAATAGCTTGGTGGTCTCCACAAGTATCTAGATTTTTGGAAATAGGCCGGCTCTAAATGACACCGGGCAATTTTTCGAATTTTCTCCACAATGCTGAGTAGCTAGAAGGCACCAATTATTTTTACCAATTTTTACCACATGTTATCAGGCATACCTCTATGTTCTCCTTGTCAGTTTACGCTCAGGGTGTGTGATCGATGGCATGTATAGAAGACTTCTAACAACAAAAGTGGTTGTGTCCTACATAACGTTAATCGCAGACACTAGAGGCACTGCCATGTAGCCTGGCACTTTTTCAACGAGCTGATTACGCTAGCAACAACGACTAAGTGCTACAAACGCGAAAAAATTAAACTTCGAGCCGGTTTTGCAAAAAGAAGACGACTCGCAAAAAATTGTCAATATCTAACCATAAAAGAAAACACCCTTTTTGGTGCTTCTCAAGTAAAAGAGTAAAAATTTCAAAAACCCTTCATAGGATTTCCTGAGATTTGTTACTACTTAAAACATCTGAAAAAATATTCAAGAAAATTAAAAAAAAACATCACTTTAAATAAAAAAGGCGTATATGTAACTTTCAAAAGCAGTCCTTGAAAGTTTTTGAAAAATTATTTGTAACAGTTTTACCAGCAGGAGACTGTTGCTACTGTTCCCCCTTATCCTAACGTAGAACTCTCAGGTCTGAGTCTTGTTTGAAGTAGAGAGCATCGCTTGCAATGCGGTTTTCTCTGCTTTCACACTTCTCGCAGTGAGGAAGCCAGCTAGAGCGTACTCATATTCAAGATATTTCGCGCGTAAAACTATAAATATCAACACGATGCAGCTAGCGCGGAGCACGACTCAGGGCGTTAAGAAATTGATCAAGTTTAACTAGAAAATAAAAATGAACCAAGTTTTGGAAAAACTAGAGGACTGCTAGTCTTTACAAGTTCCCCTTTTATATCTCGTAGAACTAAAGCATCTCTGTAGTTTTTTAATAAACCACAGAGTTTTGTTCGTTCATGTCTGTCCAAAAAAGTTAAATATTCGCGAATAAAATCATTCTCTTTTTCCGAATTTTCAAATACTAAAAATGACGCGAAATGCCTGGCTCCTCTTCAATGGACCGAGCGATTTCCTTCAGATTCCTTGTTGGAGAAATCAAAGTTCAGAAAAAGGAGCTACCTTAAAAAAACCTACCTAGGACTACCTAGACCTACCAAAAAAAGACCATAAATTATGGACTTCTTTGCCAATTTTGAATGAAATTATACAAATACCTAGATTTTGAGATGTGGTTGTACATAAAAACGCAGGGGACGCCGGACGGACAGACACACATTTTTTCAAATATAGTTTTTTCGACTTCATGCAATTTCGACTACTTATAAAAATTATGAAATTTCACCATTTTTTTTTCTCTCTTTTTTTTTCTTGGTTTGGGATGATGATATCTCCTCTACCCACAAGGGGAGCGAAAAAGTAAAACTTAGTCGTCTTCCCTGTCAGACTCGACATACATCTCTGGAAAAGTATATAAAAGTGACGTACCACTTGGACTAGCTTCAAGATCCCAGGGATAGTTTTTAGGTAATCCACGTTGAACTTGACCCAGGCGAGGAGCCCATCCCTGTCGCCGGGCTTCCGGTGTCCGTTCTCCACGGTCACGGGGATCGTCGTCTCCGTCATCATAAACTCAACACTAACTCAACACTAACTCGGACACAAAGAACACACGCGGCTGTGCGGACACGACGCTGTTACATCCGAACACTACGTTTACGCACCAGGACGTTGCTGAGGGCGACGTGGACTACGCGACTGCGGACGCGAAGACTGAATGAATCGGGAGTCCACGGGCCTCGAGCGCGGGACGCCAGCACGAGCCGCTTCCCCTCCGGACCGCGCTCCTTCTTCGGGAGCCTTCGTCGCACATGGATCACGGAGGATCTTGAGTTGAGGGTTTTTTTTAAAAAGAGAAAAAAAAAAGAAAAAAAAAAAACCGAAAGAGGGGCTTGGAAGACAAGGCGCACAAGTGTAGTTTTTGGGGAAATTGAGATTTGTTTAATTTCAAGTAAAACTAGTCTTCATGCATATTCTTCGAAAAATTCGCTCCCAAATTCCAATTTTTAAGCATCAAACAGTCAGTTTGAACTTTTTTCCGCCGTAAGGATCCACGTAATTTAGAAACTTCAAACACGTTTTTCTCGAAATAGCAAAAACTGCACTTATGTGCCTTGTCCTCCAAGATCCTCCACAATACATAATGTAACCGATTCGATTTTTGGCGGCGATTAAATTTATCAGTATAAATTGTGACAAAAATCGATTTTTAAAAATGGATATTTCCAAAGCTCAAAATTTACACTCTTCAAAAAACAAAAACAAAATAAGAATGAAAATTCCCAGGAGGTAGGCTAAACTTTTGGTCCAAAAATCGACTCGTGTGCCGATTTACTACATTCAGATGACAAAATCGGAATTTTCGATATTGAGAGAATATATCGATTTTCACGATCGATCGATTCCAATAAAATCATGCGATGTAATCGATTTATTCGGTTAAAAAATCGATTAAAAGTTTCCAGCACCACTGCACGAACCAATATACCACGGTAACGAGGATGGTCCGCCTTCATTTTTGTATGTATGCAGTATGCAGTATGCAGTATGCAATGCGGACATCCGGAGAGCTTAAATAGTTGTATCCACGCGAATATTCCTGTCCATATTCCATCGGCCGAGGTGCTAACCACTGAAGACAGTATGTCCTTCATATGCCTGTTAGAAAATTATAATCAGTCTCTTCTCCTCCTTCTTTCTCCTCTTTCTTTTCTTCGAAACTAAAATATGACAGATAAAGAATCCCATCGCATCAAATAAAAGAGTGAGAGAGAAGATTTTTTAGATTTTTCATTATAAACGGAACGCATTGTATCCTCCGCAAAAAAAGGTAATAATACGTTATTACGAACAACATCGTCACATGTTACGTCTTACAATTAATATTGCATAATTTTTTGTTCAACGCTCAGTTTCTGGCAATATAATTAGATAAAAAATCATTCTATTATGTTTTGGCTAATCGTTTAAACTTAATCACATGGAGGGAGACGTGTAAATTGTTAAAATAATTTAACACACTAAAAAAGTTGCAGTGAGCCTCTTAAATGTGTAAAAATTCGTTTTTATATAGATCTAGTCAACAGAAAAATCTGATTGTGAGTTTCACTATAGTGCCACGAAAGTGCAGATATTGTGCTTGTGGTGTGGTATCCTGATATTTTGAAGGAGATTGTGGTAACCTCGCAGGAATTGACTATTGTGATGTCGACCAACCGCGAAAGCAAAGTGCGAAACCAAGCATCTCCATTGTGGTATTTTAAAATTTCCGCTCCTTTTTTATATTATTTTTCCAAAGAGAAACAAGCAAATAAAATTAATAGTGGAATAAGTCAAGATTCGGTGATCGGTTTTCTTCTGTATAATGTTTTATTTGACTAAATATGTACTCCGTATCGTATCCTCGCTTAACACTTCGGTAATTAATGGACTGGATTTTGCAATGAGATACAGTCAGTCAGGGTAACTTTGTGCCATCGGGGGTAACTTTGTGCCAGGCTCCGAATTTACTATCTTTGTTTGCTTCTTCTTCTTCAGATTTTAGATTGCCAACTTAGGCATATCAATAGACAGCTTAAATCCTCATCTTTCCTCAGAATTCAACAGTTGGTAGTAGTCATGGAGTAATGGCCTGGCACAAAGTTACTCCCGATATGGCACAAAGTTACCCTGACTGACTGTACTATAATTTCTTGTCCATGTATGAAAACATCTACATGAATAGAAAAACTAAAGACACACGTGTTATTTCTAAAATGGGTCAGGGATTCTAGATCCTAATTGCAAAATGTAGCCCAAACATCCTCGCGTCTTCCTTCCCGCAAACTTTGAAATATGTATGAGTGTCTTAACTTGCAAATCAAATGAGCTTAACAGGTCAACTGTGCGTCGAGAAGTTATAAACACTGGTTTTTAGCAACACTTTATTCAATATGATCCAAAGCGTCACTTTATTCTATAGCAGGTTAGTCACGCCTAAGGCCCTGAGCGAGGAACAGGCGGCCCCTCACTCCGATAGCGTTCTTTCAATTTTCATGTTTTGTAGCTTTTCCAGCAGTTTATCGTAGATGAAGGTTGCGGCCCTAATTTCATGGAAGTTCTCAATTCTCGATTGTTGGGTTCATTACACTCATAGGCTTACTCATTTATTGGACAGATAATAAACCCGAGACTGAAGTGTGTTCCGTTGCTCTTTCCATTCATCTTTTCTGGTATTAATATCTCAACCTCTCGTAGGTATTTTCAATATTTTTAAATTAAGTGTTTATTCTTCCAACCAGCTTCTTACTGCTGTTGAAATTGTCAATTTTTTGGAGGGAGAATAAGGAGACATCAGGGTCGGATTTATCTACTTGCCGCCCATGGGCCGCCTGTATTTTGCAGCCTTCACCTCATTCGTTTTGAAACATCGCTATAAAAACTATCAAATGAACGTGCCGGAGGGGGAGGGGTGCATAAGACTCGTTTACTCGTGTTGGACACATTTTTTGCGAAAGCCCTGTCAACACTTCCAGCAAAAGTTCACGGAACTTTGCGCGAAAGTTAAGTTCCTTAAACCTATCTCTGTGTGAACAAGGCCTTCCATTTCTAATAAATGAACGTAAAAACTGTGCAAGAACAAACATAAATGTGGTTTAACACTTTTAACTTCCGCCGCCGCGCTGACCGCATGCGCACTGTGTTTGACGCAATGCGTGAAGTATTCATGAAGTCTGGTAGGCGATATGCGTTTCACGCTGCCCGCGCTGTTTTTGACGTAATGTGTGAAGTATGCATGCAGTCTTGAAGGCGCCTTGCGTTTCTTGTCGGCCGCTACTGACCGCACTGTATTTGACGCTATGCGTGAAGTATTCATGCAGTCTTGTAGTTGCTTATATGTGTTACATGCCGACCGCCGCGCTGAGGGCTTCTCCTTTTCATATCAAGTACTCGTCATTATTGCTCTCTGCGCCGCACAGCTCCATGCAAAATTGCGTGTTTGGTTTCTCTTTTAACTCGACTAATTAAAAATGGTGCCTCATCTTGTATCACCGAAAGACGACAAAATTAGAAATTACTATACTCTCAGGAAGTGAGAGATTTTGTCGCCTTTTCTCGTTTGTAATTTTGTTTCTGAATCCGATTTTCTTTTCATACCTACATTTAAAAAAATTGAAAAATTTGCCGCCATGGGCTGCGGTCCATGTGGCCACCCCCTCAATCCGGCCCTGAAAGACATTGATTGTTGATGAGAAACAACATGTTCATGTTGTTTGGGTCGTGCCGAGGATGGAGGTCAGGGACACCTCCGAAACGCATCCGCTTCAAAAATTGAAAAAGTTTATGCAAGTGAGTGATTTTAAAACTTTTTAAATCTTCGTAAATTTTTAAAATTTTTAAATTTTACATACATTGTATGTTAACAAACTTTTTACACGATTTGTGTTCGCGTTTATCGACATCGATGGCTAAAGTGCGATACCAACCATCTGCGCCTGCGACATTCCAGACTTCCTTGTTTACTTTTCTGCTTTAGAAAGCTGATCAACGTTACTTCTTAAAAAACTTCTCTGGTTATTCTCCTCTATTAAGAAAGTATTCTTTCTTGTCAAGCTTTGTGGTTGGCTTGTTTCTCTTTGAAAAACAAAAAAGAAGCTGCAATTTTAAAACGCCACAATGGAGATTCGTGGTTTCGCAATTTGGCCATCGGTATGACCTTAAGAAGTCGGAATAAGTACTTATAACGTTGTTATGTCTGATCCCCACACTAACAGTCCCCAAAAGTTTCAACATCACAATGGACCACTAGACAAGGTACGAATTTCAGCATTCTGATACATCTTTTTTGACCAAAATTTCACGTAGGACACAATACGCACAACGAAAATTACCGAAATCAACTCCTTCCAAAGATATTTAATGATTCTTGATGCGTGAATTCAAACCATCCGCTCACGAAAACTCAAAGCTCTACGCGACTCACATCGCGCGCTAAACATTATCATGACAGTCTCTGCGATATAAAAATCTGGCAACCTCAATCTTGACGCTTTGGCTCAGCTATAGCGAATTGCTTATAGTTTGAACAACACATGGTGGGAAATGAACATTGCTCGATTGAGAGGTTTGCTAAAACCGTTGTAATGCGCGATTTGACTCACGTAGAGCTTTGAGTTTCTTGTGAGCGGGCAGTTCAAATTCCTCGTAACCAGTGTGAAATAAAAACGTTAATATCTTCGTCAGGAGTTGGTTTCAGTAATTTTCGTTGTGTGAATCGTGTTTTACGCGAAATTCTGGTTAAGAAACATGTATCAGATTACTTAAATTCGTACCTTGTCTAGTGGTCCATAGTCAGCTCCGGCGAGGTTACCACAATCTCCTTCAAAATGTCAGGATACCACACTACAATCACGAGATCTGCACTCTCGTTCTCGTGGCACTCCAGTGAAACTCACAATCAGATTTTTCTGTTGACTTGATCTATACACAAACGAATTGTTACACATTTAAGGGGCTCACTGCACCTTTTTAGTCTATTAAATTAAATAATCAATTTACACGCCTCCCTCCATGTGATAAACTGGTTTGGGAAAACCCCGAAAGCCCAAAAACTTCTACTGTCGCTATGGTAATAAAGCACGTATCTTTGATTTAGTGTATGCATAAATTTACTCATATTTGAGGAAGAGCATAGAGCTCATAATAAAATATGCACATTCTTGGCCATTTTGGTTCGGTATTGAACTCTGAAGATTGGCGCGGTGACATTATTCGTTTTCAAAGGTTGGTTGTCCTTTTGCAGTTTAAGAGCTCCATATTTTTGCCTTGAAAAAAAACCCGTACGATCAATGTGAATCTAGAAAATAACGAGGCATATGAGAAAGCCGTGAGTGCGCAAAAAATGATTATTAACAACGTGATTATATGCATGACATTATGACTGAACATTAATTACAAATAGGTACTCTCATTTTCTTATCCGTTTTTTATATGGATATTTTTTGAAATTTGAATTACTCTCAGAGTGGCATGAAACTTAAAAAAGAAATGAAAGCTTGGAAATTTCGGTGAAATATTTCATGCAATTTCACGAGGGTTGGAAATATTTCATATTTTTCGGGGGTTGGAATTTGCAACCCTCACTCAAAGACACAGAAATAGAAGACAGTCACAATTTTTACATTTTGCGAGACCTGAAAAGAAACCGTTATTTTTCGATATTTTACATGTACATATTCTGAAATTTCATGAAATATTTCACGTGAAATTTCAAGATTTTATTTTTAATGAAATTTTGTCACCCTGGAATAACTCTACTGATCTGTTTCCGGTCAGCAAAGCAAAAAACTGGCGAAAATTGCAGTAAAATCACCCATTTCCGGTACAATAAAACTGGCAACTCTGTTGACCGGCAACGCTCGGATTTAACGGATATCCGGAATTATTTGAAATTCCCGCGAGTTTTGGTTAAACTCGGAATAACTGGAATGAACCGGTCTAGACCAATCAGAACGTCTGGTTCAGAATTTGCCGTTAAAATTCCTTTTATTCGAATGAAGGAATAATTGAAATAAATTCGTAATCTGAACCAAACTAACCTTCGAAATCCAACGTTGTTGTAAAAAAAAGCAGTACGAATTTCTGCGATCTGCTCATTCTGCCGACTAATTTCATCGTTATATCTTAAAGTTAAAAGTATGATAGAAAATCTATAAGCATGGCTGCAGGACCGATCGCCGAGAGGAATCAAGGTACTTGATTTGAAATTGTTTAGTTTAATTCTATGAAATCACAACAACTTTGCCGGTCATTTTTAGGTTATGTTTATCGACGCGCCGTCATCTAGAAGCACGCACAACCTGTAAATTTTCCTAAATTCTTTTATTTTTTCATGGATAGAGTTTCCCCCCTATTGAATGCCGTCACATAACCTTCGTAAATAAATTAAAATCGTTCAGATGCATCTCCAATTCTATCGTGTGACTGTTGCCCGTACTCCTCCGAACCGCAGAGGAAGCACGTCAATGTCACAAGCATTATTTATTTCAGTGGTGACAAGCACTTGTCGTAATAGGGTGCTATCACATAGGAGCGGAAACTTTGGAACAATGCAGCTTGATTTTAATGTCGGTTAAGTGCACTCTGAACTGAATGGAGCTTGTTGCTATGAGGGACTGAGACCAAAGGAGGACCTTTCGGACCAAGCGGCTTATACTAATGTCAACATTACTAAGATTGTGCCTACACTTAACTGTTAAGTTAGTAGAAAGCGTTAAGCTGTGTTCTGAAATTTCACTACAATTTTCTTTCTATTTTTCTGAATATCTTGGCAGAGAAATTTATTTATAATGTGGGTAATTTCGGATACCTACTTGCAATAAAAGAAATAGTTACATAATCTTATCAATGTTGACACGGGTATAAGCTGCTTGGTCAGAAAGGTCCTCCAATGGTACTGCATTGCTGCCTGTCCAACTTAGCGCAGTAAGTTTTTGCCAAACGAAGTCATATTACGAGGACGTCCAGAAGACAATTCAATACTCTTGATGGGCCGACATCAGTTTGTCAGTGAGGGTTCTGTGATTCATTTCCATTATACTTGACTGAAAATTCTTACAAAGTTTTATTTCTACTTTGCAAGGGAGTATATTTTATTGGCTTTAGCACAAAGTCTGTGCCTCTAATCCAACACTGCCATGCTAAGCAAGAACGCCGTAAATCCATCAAGATTTTCCCGCGTTTTTGGAACTTAACACTTTTTAAAATAAAAACTGTTTTACTGACCCATGCACCTTAAATTTTTAGTTTAAGCTCTTAATAGTATTTGCGAAAGAGTTATTTAAAAACATTGTTCCAAAGTACACAAGTTTTTCTGCTATGATAAATTTTTTCCAATAAAATTGAAATGGTGTTTACTACGGGGTTTTTGCGTTGCACAGCAGAACATCAGCCCTTGCTCATGCTCAGCGAGTTGGTATACTTTTGCAGTGTGATTGTAGATTCGATTTTCCTTTTTTTCTAATTGAAACTTAATGTAGGAAATTAAATGGCAGGTATAGTACTTAGTCACTAAAACATGCCAGTTTATTTGGTATGAATGCTCATGGTTTTTCACCTACACTGATACAGCAGCATGTTAAAAGTGCATTTTGGAACTGAATGTATCCGGCATCGTTTTGTTCTTCTGTTATTTAAGTATATATCACTTACTGGATCCAATACTTCTGTGAGCTGGAGAAAATGTGAAGTGTTCTTATGTTCCCAGGAGCAGTTATAAGTTATCTTGATGTGCAAATAGAGTCCAACAAAGTAGAGAGTTCGCCTCTCTGTAGTTAGGAAAGAATATTTATTTACTTGAATCTTTACACAAAAACTCTGCAAAGCTTTACAGCACTGTTTCTATATTCAGAAATCATAAAACGGCCAACAGTTAAGACTGAAATATCTATTTACGTACATTACCGTGTGACGTGAACCTAAGTAAACCTCAGACTCAGACCTTCCCCCTGGTCTGAGTACGCTAACTTTAACTTGAGCAACCCTGTGATAAAATTGTGATTACTGCAACGGTACTCTTCGTAACCTATTTAAAATATCATCAGCCGCATTGATCTTGATATAAGTATTTTCATTTTTTAGATGCCACGATTTACGTTGGTGGTCTTGATGACAAAGTTTCGGAAACCCTCATGTGGGAGTTATTCGTTCAGTCTGGTCCTGTTGGTAAGTGAACCTATTTCTTTTTTTCATTTTTCAAGTAAGTATCTATCATCCTGGGGGAGAAGATTTGCAAATCAGATTTTGTCCTTTACTTCATCGAAGGATGGAAGTTTTCATATAGGTGCAAACACAATTGATTTCCCCTCTTAGACTTGGCATTAATCCATTATTTTGTCTCGCAATTTTTACAGCTTTCTTGCTATCTCTTTCGCAGAGTTATTAATTTTAAATTAGCGGGTTTTTACGTTTTTTCTCATTTTTTTGCTGTGAAGTAATTGGTGTACCTAATAGGAAGAGTATGGCCACTTCAGTATCCACCTCTGATCGGCTCAGCCATCTTAGGTTGAATGTAGCCATCAAGGGCTCAATACTTAATGGTGGACGCCGTATGTAAATGTATGTACCAAATGACTCAAAGTGTAGTTTTGTTTGCTTATAGTAATGAAAAATTTACCCGAATGCACTATTGTGTCATATTTACGTAGATTTACAGCTAATCGTGTGCAATTATCAAGAAAAATCATCTTAGATGTAGTAAAGTTTGCAGCAAGTGTGGTTGATGATGATTATGAATAGTTAGTGATGACCCCACTCCCATCATCAAAAACCAAAACAAAGCACTGCCACTTTTGGGACCTAAGCCCCTCCATGGGGCCCAGTGGCCATACTCTCCCTATCAAGCTACTTTAGAAAAAACAAGGAAAAGAACATCCCATGTGAATATTTCCTCTCAAGCTCCTTTCGTAACAGATTTCCTCTTGCAACGTGTGAGCCTGCTTCAGCATTTTTTCCATCCCTGCTAAAACCATTTTACAATAGAGAAATTAATAGTTGTAGTACTCATAAATTGAAACTTTTGTCCGGGAACTGAATTCTATTCAAGTAAAATTTGATACTAAATGATTAACTTGTAATTTTCATTCAAACCGTTTTCTTCTGATGCTAATCTCTCAGTATTCGACAAGTTTTCAAGTACAATCTTTTGGGAAAAAAAGTTCTACAAATCCTGCTTGGAGTGCTATGGTGCAAAATCACCCTTACTGAACATTTGTTGCATTTCCATTCGGTAAATATATTGTTTTTTACATTGTTTTTTCTTTAAGGACTAATTTCAAATTGATAAAATATAAAAATGTGCCTTTTTTCCAGTTAATGTCCATATGCCTAAGGACAGAGTTTCTCAATCTCATCAAGGCTATGGATTCGTTGAATTTCTGGGAGAAGATGATGCTGATTATGCCATCAAAATCATGAACATGATTAAATTGTATGGCAAACCAATTCGAGTCAACAAGGTAAGTCTTTGCACCTCATTTAAGTAATCATCCCATTTTTTTTCCAGGTTTCTTTTCAAGAATCGAAGAAATAGAAGGCTTCTTTGAATAAAATATTAAGGGCTTTTCAGGTCCCTCCTTAAGATTATGATTGAAATCATTGAAATTTATGAACAAAAAGTAGAACCTTGTATATATGTGTCGAAGACAATTAGTCAAATCAGGCATTTTATCAAATGCCCAGGCTGATGGTCAAATTTTGACAGTTTATGGAATTCTGTAAATTAATGGCAAGGAGCTCACAGGTTTTCAATATTTCTGGAAGAATAACTATTCAAATCCGCGAACTCTCCTCATTCCTTCCTTTTTACATGCCTTTAGTACTTTTAAATGTTAATGTTTTAAAAATTTATGACGTGCTGAAAATTTCATGAGAAATATGCATTCAAGATCTTTAAATTGTGTAAAATACTAGTGTATGCCGCTTAGTTTTACAGAGAATTCTGTCTTACAGGAGCAACTAATTATTTTGTCTGGAATTATGGTCAAAAATCAAAATTTCAATCTAAGTAAGAATATTTGACTATTTGCCTAGAGGCATTTGACAAAATGCCTGATTTGACTATTCGCCTTCAACATATGCAAGATGTTTGCTGATGATGTTTTCACCTAGCCAGTCTGCACTGCCATAGGTAGTATAAGAGAGCTGGTAAAAGCATTTATCCATTCAGGAGCTTTCATTTTGACCGTGTGAGAATCACTTTACGCATCTCCAATGTAATCTACCATGGAAAGCTGTATTAAGACAATTTAAGAAAACATTCAATATCCTGTCTAGACTTTTCCTAAAATAATGATGTCACATTTATGCCAAAAAATGTATGAGCGAGGCACCCTTGTTCACACTTGTGTTTTTCTTTGCTGTCAAATACAGTTATGCACGCTTTTTTAATATTTTTTGCCAATGTTTTTTTTCACAGGCCTCAGCTCATCAGAAAAATTTGGATGTTGGTGCCAATGTCTTCATCGGAAATCTTGACCCAGAGGTTGATGAGAAGCTTCTATATGACACTTTTTCAGCATTTGGTGTCATTTTACAAACTCCAAAGGTAGGTCATTTTATTTTGATGCACCAAAAATATTACATTCTGCTGCATCTACCTTGTAACAGCAAGTAGATTCTTCTTCGGCAAAATAATATTGCTGTGTATGCCATCAAGTTTGTGCAAGTATTTGTTTGCAAATTAGGAAATCATTGTTTGCTTGGAACAATTACACATTATATTCTGTTGAAAGGAGAGGGATCTTCTGTGAAAAATAAAGATTTCTGAACTTGCGGGATGTTCTTGACGAGGAACAGCCTCCGAATTCTAAAATACTAGGTTTTCCATGAATTCAGGCTATGAAATATGGCAACACCGGCTTTTTTGGGGGGCTTTGAATCCAAAAAGATTTTTTGAGGAAGGTTTTGACCACCCACGTCCATTTATTGCCAAAAAAGTTAAAATCCGTCGTAAGATGAGTCGCTTTTTTAAGGCGTTTTAAATAAGGATGAAAAACAGGAAAATTCTAAAAACTTTTTTTTAACTATGAGCACAAAGTTTGATATCAACAAGAATTGGCCAAAGTGACTCTCATGCATCCCTAATGAACATACTTGAAGGACTTTTTTGTCCTCCAAAGGAATCGGTATGAAACAGGCCGTCGAATGCCGAAAAACCCGCATTTTTTGCCAAAATTGGCCTTCAGGCCCATGTTTAGGACAGTGGTAGACCCCGAAATAGATCGGAAATGACCAAACCATTATGCATTCCGTCAAATATAGACCTTCAATGACCAAAAAATCGCGAAGTTGAGGAATCTCAGGGTGGGCCCAAAAAAGGCCCTTAACGATACCCCTCCTTTCCGACTTTAAGTTTTGAACCAAATCTTCTGCTATCGAATACGAAAAATCATGGAGAATTTAAGTTTTATGTTGACCAGTTTCTCGAAAGAAAAATAAAATTTCCAAGGAAGTCTGACTGGAAGTTAAATGTGATGATTTCTTTTTAATGCTTTTTAATGTTACATATTAAATTGCATTTAATTGTCATGTGGAAGAGCTTGGCCAAGTAAGCTCTCCTTGAATCTTTCAATTCGCTTATATTATATTCTTCAATTGTTGTGTTTTTCATTTTCGCAGATCATGAGGGACCCAGACACTGGAAATTCAAAGGGATTTGCTTTCATTAACTACGCCAGTTTTGACGCATCTGATGCCGCCATCGAATCAATGAACAGCCAGCATTTATGTAATAGACCTGTCTCTGTTTCCTACGCCTTCAAAAAAGACTCGAAAGGTGAACGGCACGGATCGGCTGCGGAGCGATTGCTCGCGGCCCAGAATCCCTTATCACAAGCAGACAGACCTCATCAACTGTTCGCCGATGCCCCTCCTCCTGCCCCACTCCCACAGACATCTGTACCACCACCTCCACCAAACATCATGGGTGTGCCTCCTCCTCCTCCGATCGGATTCAATCCCCCGCCTCCTCCTCCAGTCCCCCCGCCACCAGCGGGCATGGGTCCTCCTGTCGGAATACCACCACCGCCTCTGCCTCCTCCAAACATGCAACATCCACCAGGGATGCCTCCTCCTCCTGGCGGTATGATGCCTCCTGGCGGTCAACCTCCGTTACCTCCCATGCCTCCTACTTCTCAAGGAAACATGATGGGCCCCCCTCCGATGAATGTGCCCCCAGGGCCGCCTGGCCCTCCAGGTCCACCTATGATGGGTGGGCCGCCTCCACCTCCGAGAATGGTTCCCCCTCCTCCATGGCAGCAAGGCCCCCACGGACCGCCTGGTGGTTATCCACCAAACAATATGGGACCTGGAGGTCCCAGACCACCATTCCCTCCTGGACATCCTGGCAACTTTGGACCGCCACCACCTGGAATGCCAGGTAAATTTCTCTCATTCAAAAGCCGTCACATATCAACCCCTTATGGCATGAATTACTCTTGGATCTTATATTCTAGGGGGCACTAATACATTTTTTAGCTTGCATATAATAAATAGAGTGCCAAATTTTTTTGCAAAATTTTAAAGTCAATGGAATCAATTTTTCAAGAAAGAAAAAACTAACGCAATTTTGCAAAATCATGGCACAGGGGAAAGATTCAATTTTCAAAAACCTTGAAAATATGTTGTTACGAATTTGTAACGCTATGATGCTAAACGTTGGTGGGTTAATGGTGGAAGTACAAACCTTGCCTCTTGGTTTGCAACATGCAAATTTTCGGTCATATTTTACTATCTGGAAAAAAACCAGATCGCTGTTTTTAATAAAATATAAGAAGTAATAACAAAAAACCATACGAAGATCTGTGGTTTGCTTGTTTCATCATTAACAAAATACCATATTTATGATGTCTCCTAGCACAATTCTCAATTGGATCTCTAGACAAGGTGTGAATTTAAGCACTACACAATACTTTATCTTCCAAATTTTACAAGGAAAACAAATCCTACAGCAAAAAGTCTGGAAATAAATTCTCAAACAAAACATAAGTGTTCACAAACAATATTGGTTAGCCCTCCATGGCATGGTGTCACTTATTTTTAACAACCCATTATTGGGGTTTTTTAGCATTTAATATTTCATTGTGGCATGATTTTGCAAATTTGTATTGCCTAGTTTTTTCTTTTTTGAATAACTTAAATCCCAAAAAATTAATATTTGGAAAAAATATTTGGCACTCTTTGTCTGCAGGTGCAGAATAGATTAGTGTCCCCCAGAATCCAAGATCAAAAAGTAATTCATGGCACAGAGGCTTCAATGGCAAACATATAAATGACACTTTATAATCTAAGTTCAATTTGATCCGTATTAAAAACACTTGTCAATATCTCACCCAGGAATTGATTTCTGAACTTCCCATTGTGTAAATAATTTTCTATGTAAGAACTGAAGAAAAAAATATGTAATTTTTTGGGACCTGAAAATTTCCTATCGATATTAGTGTGACAAGAAGAAAACAAATCACTTCTGTGATATGAGAACTGCTGATGGCGTGCCTAACGTCGGATACTGGCAGCCACTCAAAGTGTATAGTTAGTTCATAGTTATTCAGTGTAGGACTTACCTCTTTTTATTCTTACTGTTCCTTTTGTTCATTCTCTCTCAAAGTAGCTCTATAAACATTTTGGTGGCATATAAATAAGAAAAAAAAGAAACAAAAAAATTTGTAGCGAGAAACTTAATGTCAAATTAGTCTTAGAATATAAGTATCAATTCTGAGTTTGACTTCCTTGTACACAGAAAATCTGCTGTAATCCTCGCAAAAAAAGTCATTTATTTCTATAAAAAACTCTGTCTCCTCTCTACTTTCTTCGACTAATTCTCTTTTTGTCTGCTCTATTTTACAGGACCACCAAGACCTCCACCAGGCTGGAGACCACCCCCTCCCGGTATGGGTGGTCCTTTCGGAGGACCGTATGGTCCACCTCACGGGCCTCCAGGGATGAGAGGTCCGCCCCCACCACCACCCGGGTACAATGATTAAAGAACTTCATTTGAATTGAATTTCAATCACCGGTGAGAGGATCACGCCTCCTTTTGCCATCACCCGGGTATAATGAATTGAACTGTGATTGAACTGAAATTTCCTGACATGCTTAGAAAAGCAAGTCATATTTTACTTGTCAATCTGTGTTTGTTAAAACTGATGTAATTTTTAATGACAAATAAGTGAGAGAGGCTTAAGATTTCATCTTCATTTTTTCTTGTAATGCGCTTCTCTTTTTTTTTAATGACAAATAAGTGAGAGAGGCTTAAGATTTGATCTTCATCAATTTTTCTTGTAATGTAGTTAAACTTCAACCAAATGCCTTGAATCACTTAAATGACAAATAAGCCAAGCATTTTCTTTTTTCTACAATGTTCCATGTGAATTTATGAGCTGCGATTCAAGAAACAGTCACTTAGTAGTGCAGAAAGCCCCCTCTCCTCCCTCAATATTTTTCAGTTTTACCGCAGCTGCCAAATTTTTAGGAAGTTTTGAAATTTTAATTGGAAGTGCTTGGTTGTTATTCATTTTTCAATGCTCTTTCAGCTCATTTGCACGTATTTTTTCAAAAATCTATGGAGGTTCTCTGTAAGAGAAGGATTTATCATCATGAAAAAATATTTTCTGGAAAACAAAATGAGGGTTTCAGAATTATTTGTGGCAAAATAAAATTTGCACAAATAACCTGTCTTCTCTGTTGCACCTCTAATTTTATTTGATTTTAAATGAAGCAGCTGCATCATAATAAAAATACATTCATGGGGAAATGTTTGTTAACTTTATCAACTCGATAATCGTGTTCTGCTTTTCATTTAAATCTAATTTTAATTTATCCTACAACCTACATATCCCTTAAACAACCAAAAATCTTTGATATGCAAATTACTTTCTCGCGAATACTGTTTACCAAGCTGCAAAAGATTCAACCTTATTGAATGTAAGCCTCCCTGCCTATGGATTGGCTTGTTAATAATTTTGAAGTGAATCACTACCATTTTTAATTTTAAGTGTCTAATAATGTTCTACCCGAAGAATGCTCAGTTCTTCAAAAAGTCCTTTTCTATAAAAAGGAAAATTGAGTTTTCTAATTTTTTTCACATGTCTCCTTTCTTTTAATATGTGTATTTTGTTAATAAAAAGTAACTTGAAACTCACCTCCTCTTTTTCTCCTCTTTCTCTCGTTTTTTTTTTCTTTCTTTTTTTTTTTTTTTTTTTTTTTTTTTTTCTTCACTTTTATTTCTGTACCAACGCATAAAATTGGTAAAAAAAAAAGCCAGACTCTGATGCCATCCAACAACAGAACTACGTAATAAAGTTGTGGAGGTCAGGAAGTTTTACTATCTTACCTTAAAGCTCTCGTTTTAAAACCGTTCCTCCGATTTAGAGTGAGCATTTCAAGAACTTTTCAAAACCAGTCTCAAAATCTCTCCAGGAAAAACTTTTAACATTAGATGGAATTAAAGATTTCCGAGCTTAATGGGCTTACGCCCAGCTAAAAATAATACATTATTTTTAGCTGGACGTACTTCTGTCAAACGGAACTAAGCGCCATAGGGAGAGGAAGATAGAGGGGGGCTTTGATTGGCGGCGGAACCGGGCATCGGGCTCATTCCGTCCTATAATCGCAATGCTTTTCCATGGCGCTTAGTTCCGTTTGACAGAACGCGCTATCCGGCATTTTAAATTCCTCAAAAGGAACTCAAATTGGCGCTTAGTTCCGTTTGACAGAAATACGTCCAGCTAATCCACAAGACTGAAGCGTCAAAACACGATTCTGTGACCAGCGCGCAACTGACCCATTACGGAGCCCTTGAAGCACCTCTAAAAAATGAAACGAACGGAAACAAACACAATATGGAAATAGAGCAAAGGAAAACGCGCGTTGATGACAGCACGGCGCAGAGATACAACTATTCGTGCTTGATGAATGTCCGTGTTGCGTTTGCAAAATTGAAGGCGCGACGTGCGAGGCGAGAACTCTGAAAGCTCCGCTCTACACTGCCAGTGAGGTGCAATTCAGATTTGGAGGAAAAGTTGAAAAACGAGGCCTAAATGCGTCTCTCGTCCTAACCTCGGCAGTGTATATTTTGACTGTATCTCAACAGTGATTCTTTTTTTAGGATATATTTGGAGATGTATTTCTAAATTAAGCTCGTATGTACCAGCCCTGTCACATGGCGTCAGATCCTTTGATCTAAAGGCGGCATATAGTTAGGACAAACAGAGCAGATGACCCAATACTTTTTCCTAGTTAGTTTTATTTTAATTTTTATTAGTTCAAAATGCAAAAAGCCAGGGCCGGATTAAAGGGGTGGCCCAATGAGCCGCGGCCCATGGTGGCAAATCTACAGGGGGCGGCAAATTTTGCAATTTTTTTAAATGTAGGTATAAAAAAAAAATCGGATTTAGAAAAGAAAAATTACAAACGAGAAAATGCGAGACCAAATCTCTCATTTCCTGAGAGTATAGTCACTTCTAATTTTGACGTCTTTCAGTGATACAAGAGACAACACCTTTAATTAATCGAGTTAAGAGAGAAACTAAACACGAAATTTTGCCTGGAACGGCGCGACTTAGAGAGAATTGATGACGAGGACTTGAGATGAAAAGGAGAAGCCCTCGATGCGGCGATCGGCATGTAACACATATTAGCGCCTACAAGACTGCACGAATACTTCACGCATCGCATCAAATACAGTGCCGTCATTGCGGAGGCGGACAGCGTGAAACGGATAGCGCCTACAAGACTGCGTGAATACTTCACGCATTACGCCAAACACGGTGCGGTCTGCGCGGCGCAGCGGCGGAAGCTAAAATCATTAATCCACATCTATGTTTGTTCTTTCATAATTTTTCGTTCATTTCTTATGAATGGAAGGCCTTGTCCACGCAGAGATAGATTTACGAAACTTAATTTTCGCGCAAAGTTCCGTGAGCTTTTGCTAGTAGTGTTGACAGGGCTTTCCCAAAAAATGTGTTCAACACGAGTAAATGCGTCTTATGCACCCCTCCCCTGCTGGCACGTTCACTTGATGGTTTTTATTGAGTTTCAAAACGAATGAGAAGGGGGCGGCAAAATACAGGCGGCCCATGGGCGGCAAGTAAGTAAATCCGGCCCTGCAATAAGCCATATCCGAATGTTTCGAAACTTTTAAAGATTTATTGATATGTGGACGTATTTTTGCTAAACGGAACCAGAGACAGACGGGAAACTTTTCCATTTGCCCAAAGGGAATCACGCCTTGTTTCTTATGCAGCTTTATAGAGCACACCCCATCTTAAGATAACGAGTACGAAATTTCCTACTCGTCTGTAGTTCCGTTCAGCAAAAATACACCGGAAAAAAAACAAAAAAAAAAAACACATTGGATCTAGAGTCTAGACTCTTGAAAACATTGACAAGAAAAAGGACTCTTGATTCAATCAGAGTTAAGCTTAAATCAGAAGGAAATCCGCTCAAATTAGGAGGCTTGGTTCTCGATTTAAGCTTAAATCTGATTGAATCAAGAGTATTTTTTCTTGTCGATGTTTTTAAGAGTCTGGACTCTAGATCCAATGTGTTTTTTTCCAGTGTATGTCAAAGTATCAGAGGGCACGTTACACCCGAGCTGGGTCTTATTATCGTTTGCTTTGCTAACAATTTTTTAGGACCACTAGCAAGCAAAATCGTCTCAGCAATTTGGTAGTGCTTAAGATTTGTTATTATTTTCCAAAAAAATTCCTCTTAGATGCGCACATGTCGAGGGCCTAAAATAGCGTGAAATTGCGTCACAGTAAGTTTTGAAAAATTTTCGGGGGAGACCACAAACCCTCTATACCTGGTGATTGCTCCCAACCCAATTCTGCCCCACCGCTTTCTCGGCCCCTACTGCTCAGCTCATCACTAAAAGTGATAATTCCTGCCATGAAAACAAGGATAAAGACGACCAGCTTTGACAATCAAAATATTTTGTAGGAATGATGTAAACGAAGAAAGCTTATTACCTCACCATCTCCCCGATAGGCCGGCCCCGAGCGCAGGTGTACGACGACACGGCAAAGCTGACTCGCGTATCTCAAAGGTAAGAAGCGAAAAAAAAGGAGTATCGAGCTGGAAAATCCGACCATCGCCAGAAACGATAGGACCGATACCACAAGAAAAAAACTTTCAAATCGCGGATCGACGGTCACCGATCTTCCATCGCACGATAAACTCCACCGGGCGCCGTGGAGCGTCGAGCCGGCGCTGAAAATTTTTAAGCCTGATATAAAAACTGACAACAGCAAAACAGCCATCAGTTTGTTGAGAGTGCGCGCCGTCTTCAGCCGCCGTGGCTTTTCTTTGTTTTCCCGAGCCGCGAACCCGACTTCAAAATGAGAACCGCGCTGTTAATACCTTTCCTGGCGCTAGTAAACTTTACCTCCTGTCGATCCGTCAGGAAACCGAAGAGCAGTGAAAGCAGTGAAAGTGTCGAGTTGGAAAAAGTCAATTTAGGCGTTTCGAATGCCGAGCCGAGCTTTTTGACAGAGCTGTTCAATCCGTTCGATCAGGAGGTACCCTTGAGCACGCAAGCCCTCAAAAGGGCCAAGAAGTCCTTGTCGAAAAGGCGCATGAAAAGGCTCTCGAAGCCGAAATACCTGGAGGAAAAGTTCCGCGAGCTGGTCGAGCAACGCCCAGCCTTGAAAAGCAAGATCAAGGTGAAGCTCGCCGAACGGAAGACCAAGAAAAGGGTCAAGACCGCGCCTGAATTCGGGGGTGACCAAATCGTCTTCGGCGGTGATAACAATGACGTGTACACAGTCCCGGTCTCCAACTTCGAACTGGTCGAGGCCCCGGTTTTCGTCGCAGCCGCCCCTCCCTCCGACGCCCCCTGCGAAGTCATGACCACCAACCCCAACCCCGAAAGTCTCATCGTCCTGGAAGACCAAGTTCCGTTCGCCATCCCGAACTCGGTCGAGCAGGACTGCCAATCGCGGGTGTACGGAAGATCCATCTACGACGAGATCGACAAAGACCTCATCGCCTTAGCGTCCAACCCCGCCTTCGAGGTCCACCCCATCGAGGGGGATGAGATCTTAACTCAGGCGGACACCGCTCCCTCCGCGATTGAAATCATCCCCTCGTCCGAGCCAGAGCCGGTGGCGTTTTTCACCCCCGAGAGCATAGAGCTCGAACCTCTTAGTGTCCCCTTCGAGGACGAGTCCAACGCCAAGTTCAAGAAAGCCGTCCCGTGTGGGCAGACTCCTCAAGAAATCTTCAGCAATTGTTTAGACTTGCCGCCTACCTACGAATTCCCGTCCGAGTTTGTGATGGAGTCGATGCCGTGCGAAGATCATTTCTACGCCGCGCTGGAACCGGTCAAGACCTACGAGATCAAGCAGATCAACATCGACGAAGCGGCGATCATCAGTGAGCTGAAGAGTGTCCTGGGGGAGGTTCCCGGGCCGATCATCATTGGGGAGCCGGGGGAGCCCCTGATCGTTAGGCATTACGCTAAGCCCTACGTTATCGAATACTACGAGCGACCAATGGTCGTCGAGCACCATCAGAAGGCAGAGTTGAACATCTTTACGTCACCCCCTGTCGTCATCGACCACTACGAGCCCGTCGTCTTCCAGGAGATCCAGGCTGAGCCTCTTGTCACTGTTGAGGAAGTTTGTCCGTACTCATGACCTGGTCACAAGGGAAACTGATCTGTACCTTGAAGACTTCTGAATTCTACCCGGTGGTAAGAATTGTATTTTACAGCTTCATGGGCGGATCCAGCGAATTGGCAACATTGCCTTTCTTCCATTACAACCTATGGAATGTATCGATTCTTGGAGGGGCCAGGTTCTCTGACAAGAATCGATTTTTTAGCATGGGCTCAAATTGAGAAAATCTGGTGTTGCCAAATTGCTGGATCCGCCTCTGTACAGCTTTTGTCATTAATTGAATCGTACATATAATTTGGCACCAGGCATTGTGGAAGGATGCACTGTGGCTGACATTTTCTTCGGATCAATCGGAAATCTCGTTAAAGTAATATGGTACTCTTTGAAAAATTGAAATACTGTTTAAATTAAGGGATTTTCTGTTGTTTTAACGAGACATTTCCGTCGTAGCTAATTGAAGAGGAATTTTGTCGATCCAGCAAGAAATTTTTCTTCGTATTTGAAGTTTTTTCTACCTTGAAGGAAAATAAAAGAGAAGTATGCATCGGTGCTTCCACTGAAGCAAACTTATTCCTCCGTCGTATAGGGATGGACGCCGTATGAGCCTTCAAGCATTGTCAAATTTCCTTTGTCATAAAACGGATTTTTTGGGAAACTTAAGAATAATTTTCTTTTACATTTTCCCAGAACATTATTCGCGCAAAAATATGTATTAAAAATCTGAAATATCTTTCATTTTTGTAAAAAGCACAGTTTTTCAGAAAATATGACAATATTCAAATTTATATACGGCGTGCTTCCTAAACTAGAGTGTGAGGGTGTCACTTTTTTTTGACCTTACGAAAAAATTCGCGTTCATAAATCCAAGATAAACCGTATTTTTCGAAGTAACTCTTGTTTACAAGAATGTTCAGAGCGCCCGTAAAAAAGGAACTTTTTTAGCAGCCTGGACATTTTATTGGCATGTGACGAAAATAAAACCTTGATACAAGTAAAGTCTCCGTAAGAATTTCTACATAGGTTCAAGGTTATTTTTGGCGAAAATTCCTTAGGAAGTTTACAGTTGTAGCTTATGAATCCGAATTTTTTCAATGCCAAACGAAGTAAATCTAGCAATGTTGTGGCCCAAAAACTAGGTTTGAACTTAAGTTAAGACTTTTACACTGCGTTTGTCATATCCTAAGGTTTCATTTTAGATACATGTGGATAAAGTTCCCGGGCTTCTAAAAGAGATCAAAAACTGCTCTCTTTTGGAAGCCACTCTCGGCATCATATTTTTTTTTGTGTTACCGTCACAAAAACACATCACATTACTTTTTAAACATGAACATTTCAAATATGAGTTAGACCAGATGTAACCAACTCAGAGAGTTAAATTATTCCCCCTTTCAAGACAGACCCCTATCCCAACTATGCGACACATGGTGAACAGATAACTTAACGCGCCAACATAAAATTTTCATGATCGGTCCGGGGAAGATTTTTGGGTCCATGAGATACCTAAATATGCTAATTTTAGTCTTTAAGTATTCCCCAAAAAATGTTCAGTAGGTAATTACTAACAAGTTGGGTCATGTTGAATTTCTCTGGATCTAAGTCTTCTGCAGAATGTGAGGTAAATTACTACTTATTCACACGCAATGCCTGAAAACCCGCTTTTCTGAAATCGTTGTTTACCGGTGAGGAAACTCCACTGTTTACGAAATAACGACCGATTGCTTGGTGGATAGCTTTGAATTTTCATTGGATCTATTTTCCGCAATCACCTTAATTGGCTAAGAATTGAAATACGATCTCAGTCGCCTGTTTCAAAACTTGCAAGGCATATACACGATTTTTAGACCAAAAATCGTAATAGGAGGCAAGATCGATCTAATGTTGTGTGAACCGGTTGTCAATTGCAAAATATTCACTCACAGTGGATAAGTGTTAGGAACGTAATACTTAATTTCCTTAGGTTCTGTGGTTTCACCAATCGCCTAAGACCGCTTCGAGAAAGGAGATTTCCAGACTTTAGGTGCCTAAAGAATGGATTCAAAGCCAAAATAGAGCCACGAGAAAAAGAATTGATTCAAATATTAATTGCTCAACAATTAGATAATTTTGCTAGAATTAGCCAGAACTGATTTCATTTTGCCCAATCTCCCCTCATGTTTTATTTTGTTAACCAAGGATAACGCTTCGAAACTTTCTATGAATGTCTCTTTAATTATCAAGGATAAATTCTCAAAACATCAACTTAGAATGTTTGTCAGTTTTCTGTTAAAAATCATTCATTCGTCAGCTTCATTCATACTTCGGTTTGTGGTGCGCGAATATAATGCACGAGATAAAGTGACCACGTGTGCCAGGTGAAAGCTGCTTTGCACGTGTGCACAGCACCGTCATAATCTCTAAAGTCAGCTGCATTCTTGGAAATTTTGAAATTTTTGGAACCTTTATTCTAGGATTTTTTACTTTTGCAGTGATTCTCATAAGTAATGAAGAAAATGTTGATGGCGAAAGTGCGACAACATGTATCTCCATTGCGGCGTTTAAAAGTTTCCGCTACTAATTTTCGTGGAGGAAAAATTCGAATTTATAGCTTGACATTGATGCAGAATATTCTACCGACAGAGGAGAAAAATCGAGGATGTTTTCAAGAAAATACGTTAACTTCCAAGGAAAAAATAAAATATTACTGGAAGTCTACAAACGGACTTACGTGCATAGTATCGCACTTTAGTCATTGATATGATGTTCTTATCGACATGAGTTTTCCATCCCTTACGTGTAAAAAGCACGGCACGTTTTAGCAGCCATACCCTCCAAAGTGAGATCTGGAGACTTAAGGGTGATCATTTTAATTTCTTGAAATGTCAGATATTGTGGATTACATTTTGCAATAAAGACCTCTACCTCAAGCTCTCCCATGAAAGCACGCATCTGCATAGGGTAACCAATGGCATATATGTTGTTTCTGAAATGAGCCAGAAATAGTGGCTCCTTACTGCGAAATGTAATCTTTGTAACCATCCGGGCAAATTTCCGAGACTCCTCTACTTCTTTTACTACGTTTAGTTAAGGACTGCCAAACACAGTGAAAGTAAAGGCAAACATTTGAGTGGGAAAAAATTCAGGAGGTTCTCAGGAGGGAAACTGATCTTCTTTAAACCAACACTTTTTTTAGAAATATATATAACCAAGCAAACGAAATTAGTGGTTTTTTGTGAATATTTTATCAAATTTACAATATTTTTTTATTTTTATTTGTCACCTCTTAGCACAGGATTTTTTGAGGATTTGCATGAAGATTTTTTTTTTTTTTTTGCATATTAATATGATATTTTAGAAGTAGAGTGACAAGGTGTTGGGTGAACACTGCGCAATTATTTTCATCGGGAAATGTCGAAAATTTGAATCTTGTAATCATATAATACCTATACCTCGGTAAAAGATTACATTTTTCCATTTTATCTTTAGAATTCAAATCAATTGGTCACATATTTTCTTATTTCATTCAGTGTTTGAAGATCTGCACCTGATTACCTTATCAATCGTCGACAAATTTCAGGAACTAAACGTTTTTTTTGTCGTCTCATGCTTGGTCATCAATCATCTCCAGTAAAGAATCGTCATTACAAAGTCTGGATATCATACTGAATTTATTCTGATAAAACTTCGCCATTTTCTTCCATGCTCAATCTCAGTTCACCTACTCTAATCGAATCTTATTGGTTTGCTGCCTCTTTGGTGCCGCTCTGATCAGTGTTAACTGCTTCAGTCACTTCTTAAGCGCAAGCTGAGGATAGCCACCTCGCTGAGCCAAAACACCGTGTAAATATTTTGATGTTGCCAAATTTTGCCCTTCAAAATAATCACTTTCTAAAAATTTCATTAACCTTTTCCCGGAAAATGTGCAAAAATGATCGTTTAAATAGGGAGTGAAATTTTATAGAAAAATTCAAGAAAAAAATCCATACAGTTTCCAAAAAAGTGCACATTTTCCCGGAGAAAGTTGACAACGTTTGAAGCTTCATACGGCGTTTTTCCGGAGCATGACAGTACTGAGACTCCACGTATTTGTAAACAGATTTGGAAGAATTTCCGCGCAACAGTGGGCGATTATCTGATGAGGAGGTGTCTAGTTGACACTTTACCTAACTCGGAATATCAACATTCCAGCAAATTGCCGAGTAATGCATAATGGCAGCCTATTGCACTGGTTTTTTGCAAGAAAGTGACCGATAAGGACACGTAATAGTATACGTAACTTACGTACTGCCTGAGGCTGATCGAAGTTTTTCTTTAATTTTTGATTTCATAAGATAAAAATTGAAAATTTTTCTTCCATAAAGACTACATTTTCCTCATTTAATCGCCGCGTGAAAAATTGATTAAAAAGAGGAAATAGGTAGACTCGATGTCTTTGATCTATCTTATGAAATTCTCTCCGGTTCGTGAATTGCATATTACCAAGTTTTCCTCATCTCCTTTTTATGGGATGCTAAAATACAACGGTCGCAGATTTTGTTCGAAAATATCGGAGAAGAATTTAATGACTTCATTTCATGAGGAGTGACAGAATAATTGTTATTTTCAATTATGACTGCTTCGTAGCGGCTTCGTTGTTGAATGCTTGTAGAAAATAGCGAGAAAACTCCAACGTTTTTCTTTTCTTTTCTTTTGCTTTGCATAATTTGAGGAAATTGGTATTCTTGAACAAAAATCAAATCAAATGACCAACTTACTTCTTACCAATTGGACTGCATTTTGCAATTTGGAACTATAAATTCTAGCCCGGTTTAAAAACAACGCATGTGCCATTAGTTTCCCTACGCACATGAGTGTTTTTCCAGAAGAGCCAGAATTTATAGTTCCAAATTGCAAAATGCAGTCCAATTGATCCAAGCGGCCTTTTGACATATTCTCGTCTTTTGCAAACCGGCGTCAACCCTTTTTTTCTGCTCTCTTTTTTTTGCACCATAAGCACTCCCAGATAATACTATATGTATTGATGGGAAATGATTTATAAATGTAAACCAACACATATCAGGAGCTAAAAAGAAAATATATTTTGTCCAGCAGAATGAGTCACCAGATGTCTTTTTGCTCGTGCTACATCATGAAAGTGAGCAGGAGCACTGCCAGTCGTATGAACCGTCGTATGAACCTTCAGGCGTTGCCAAATTTTCTTCGATAAAACACGAATTCCCTGGTAAACTTATGAATATTTTTCTTCCGATTTTTCAAAGAATATTCTTTGTATTTTGTTCTTTAATAAGTCCCTGAAAATTTCGTGGAAAAATATTCATAATTTTCCTCATAAATAAACATTTTATCAAAGGAAATTTGGCAACTCTCGACTGTTCATACGGTGTTCTTCCTTAGCAAGGCAGAGCACTCCTAATCTTTGTTTGTAGAATATCAAGGCGTGTGCTTCAGTTTGATGATCTAACATTCATACTCCTGTAATCGACGCTACTTATTATTCCTCCTATACCGAGAGCCAGTTTACTTTATTTTTACGGGAAGGTATAAACATGAGGTCAAAAAAGAAGAAGGATACTACGAAGTGTGGGTGAGGCAAATGGTATAAACTCTGTTGTTTTGATGAAATTGATACTCGTATTCTGTTGCTGAGTTCATGCACAACACTTCCAGAGTTTGCATGAAGGTGGATTTTGTAGCATACAATGAAACTTCTTCGTTGGTGTGACTAAGAGGAGAGATCTCCTTCAGACTCTCACAGTCAGATGATCCCGAAAAATAACAACAAGTTGACCCAAGATTTTTGACCCGTAAGTTCGTAATAACCTCTGAAGGTCAGATGATAGGGCCACTTTCATCAGAACATGAAAGTTTAAAACCACTTTTGGTACCGCTATTCTGTAGATTCCTATATTTCCAAGTGGTGAACTTGAAAAAGGATAGTAATTGATGGTACCTAACACATTTTACTTCTTGAAGGAATAATAAGGGACATTATACGGTTTTTTTTCTCGATTCATCTTGAGAAAAAAGAGATTGAAGCGTTAAATATTACATACATTCATGGAAATTTGATGTGAATGAATTTTCGAAGAAAGGCTAGGAATGTTCTAGCATGAGATAGAGGTCGATTTGGTTATTTATGTTGAAACAAGTCTTTTCACGTCTAAAATCGCACGCCAAATTCGAGGCTTGTTATTGTTTCATTCAAGTAAGGAATTCATCGCACACTCTTTTTTTGAAATTTCGGCAGTAACTTGCCAAAAATTTTGCATTGTTTAGAAAACACCCAAGGAGAGGGAGGGGGTGGGTGGGAAAGAGTCAGTTGTGTAATCATGAAGATTGAAGGTTTGCAAAGTTTAGGTGAATGCCCGAGACATTTGCTCAGAGCTGATATGATGTCTCTGGACGAAACTTCGTCAATGTTTAGGTATTGTTTGAGATTTTGGAACCAGAGAAAGGCTTTTTTCGAGTCAACAACGGTGGAAAAAGACAAGCCACGGAAATGTAGGATAAAATTTAGATTTAAAAATCTGAAGAGCCTGGAATGGAACGGAGCAAGAAAACTATATATTTTCGTTTCGAAATTTATAGTGTCGAAAAATGTACTTATATGTTTTCGATTGCAAAATTTCAAATCTCCGCCTACGTTTTACGTTTATTTTATGAAAAAAGCTGACAAACATGTGTTCAGGAAGTTTTGTGTGAATTTTCTACATTCACTCAAGAATATTTCTAGAGCACTTAAACAAATCTATTTTGGTTTGTTTCCTTAGAGAAAAGTAAAACCTTATCGAAGATTTTGATACTTTGCGATGAAAATACGCATTTTTACATTTTTTTAATTTTATCATTCACAAGTGCAAGCTACTTCTATTCTCCACTGACAGGTTTCTCTCTTCTTGCATCATGATCAAAAACTAAAAAAAAACTAATAAAAAAAAAAAAAAAAAACGAACATCATGATTCATATGGAAAGGAGTTTATTTTTCATGAAACGATGATTTATCTCGTATAAACATGTCAGCCATTTACCTCAGCCAGAAGATCTGAAATTTTATTTTCCGTATTCTATTTTCAGGTCAGTTTTGCTGTTTTGTCATCAAAGTTTTTGACCATCGTGGTGAGCAAACATTCAACACAAGAATCTGCTTGAGGCTTGTTCATAACTTTCCAGATAAGTTTTTAACACACGTAGAACAAGTTTTCAAATCCAGAAGTGTTAGATTGAAACCAGAGTCAAAATCGTATTCTTCTTAGTTAAAAGATCTGCAAGAAAACAAGTCATAAATTTTGAAAATGAATGTTTCTCAGATGATAAAATCGCAAAGTAATGTATTGACAATGCAACTCATTAACATCTGAAAGGTTTTATTAGGCTATCTAGTCATTTTTTAAACGATCTTTACTGTTTAACAACGATGATCTGATGAATCAAGACCTAGTTCTTACTTAAAACGTCCATATCAGTATTTTCGGAAAATATAATTGAATTTTTTAGATCCTCTATTTTTTCTGAAGATGAGCTGAATCTAGAGCTCCAATTAGTAATCTCCTAAAAGGACCTTCACGGCTGATTTTAGGAAGTGCATTCCAAATATTAGCTGATGATAGTACAAACCAATCAACTTTTTCAAATTGAAATCCATCTACTATAAACTCAGTGACCAAAACTAAAAATGTTGGTAAAATTTCTTTGCAATCCAGCATTAAAACGCAGATTCTCATGCGTGCGTCCCTAAAATTTTCAAAATGAATACCCAATAAAATGATTGCCCTATTTTTTCTACTAACAAAAAGTTCGAATCCTAATACCATAAGGATAGACTAGGTATACGCAGATTAATATAGGTATTTCACCATTAATAGATCCTCGTTTCTAACTTTCTCGTATTTATTACATTGTTAAGAATTAATTTATTATTTTCTATTTTCAAATATCTATTTATTTCTCTAATTTATTTTTTCGTTAATGATGGATATTTTGTGTATTTATATATTTTGCTGTTATGTGTACATAAATGTAAATAGGAAGTTGTTCATTTCGATACAAAGAGTTTTTCATCATGTCTTGAGGACGTTACTCATAGTGTTGAGAGGAAAGCATTTTCGTGTGAGTATTTGGGCTGAAAGTTCTAAGAAAATAGTCTTCCATTGTTAGAAAAATGCTACAAAAATCAAGTTATGGCTGTCGTTGCATTTATGCAGGTACTTTTCATCGCCATGAAAAACACTTTATATAAACGCCAAGTGGATTTTCAAAGCCCCAACTTAAGTAATTAGATGCAGATGTGAAAATCAAGTTTGTAATAAATTATATTCATGTAAATTTATGTAAATAAATACATTTAAGCAGTTAAAGTTTCCAACCTGAGCTTATTCACTACCCCTTCGATTACCCTCACAGCGTAGTGCATTTTAGCACGAGATTCTCAGATTAATTATGGTTCATTTATTTCATCTCGTATACAAGAGTAACATATTACACACGCTCGTAATGAACATGTTGTAAGGTTATAAGATAATTTTACAAGGAAGTTTTACGAGCATCCTGTAAATGCTCAATTTGGCCGTGCTGTAGGTAACCTTGCGTCATTCATCACATACTGCATATTTATTTAAATCGAACTATAATGACACAAATGATATTGAGTTGCTGATTGCACTAATTTTTGTAGATTTAATTAAAAAAAATGGTATGCAAAACTATGAGACAAAAAAAACCTAACGAAGAAAAAGAAATTAATTAAAAACAATTATTATCGTGGAATCTTTGTGAAATGAGCCAGTTATTGTAGGGATGCTGCCGTGCTGAGAAAGAACTCCGTATGAACATTCGAGAGTTGCCAAATTTCCTTTAATAAACTGCCTATTTATGAGGAAAATTATGAATATTTTTCTTCGGCATTTTCAGGGACTTTAGATCAAAATACAAAGAATATTCTCTGAAAAATTGGAAGAAAATTATTTATACGTTTAGCAGAGAATTTGTGTTTTATCGGAGAATATTTGGCAACGCCTGAAGGCTCCTACGGCGTTTTTCCTTAGCACGGCAGTATGATGAACGGGAGAGTGGTTACAAAAGATGATGCCGAGTACTAGCCTGCGTGGATTGGTCTTCATGCTCGTAGTCTATTTTCTTTGATAGATTCACCCATTTTGCTTTGCTTTCTCTTTGGCCTCGGCCTCGGCGGCGAGCCTTTGCCAGATGTTGGGGGTTGATTGGGGCAGCGTCGAGGGTCCTGGTGAAGTAGCGCCAGGCGGTAACCAATAATTGATGAAAAAATTCATCGCCCATGGTTTTCCTAGTTTGTGTTTTTTAGCAAACTTCCGCTGGTTGAAATTCGCTCGATGCGTTTCAGAACTGAAATGAGAAGAAAATCTTAAGTATAAAACATTCTAACTCTATATTTGTGACTAAAACTGCAAATATTTATGTTTATTTCGTCATATTTTAAATTTCAAGGGGTGGTTTAAGAAGAAAATTTTACGAGAAAACCAATGAAACCACTTTTAGAATCAAAATTTTGTTGAAATGGAGTTATTAGCGATTAAAGTTTCCAAATTTGTCCGATCTCTGCTATTGACTAGATCCTCTGTGCGCCGCAACAGATCTTGGCCGCGACTACCGCGAGAGAACTGAAATGTCTTGTTGCAGCCATTACTTTCGAACTAAGCTGAGCTAAAGGAACAGATCTGGTTGTGTGAACTGAACAAACTGAAACTTTGGTTTATCTCAACCGTATCACTTTCATAAGTTTGATCACATTTGCTAAAATATGTGGAGAAGAAAAACAAAATTGAGAGGTTCTAGGTTTCAATAGAATTTTCTTTGAATTCTACTTGCAGCTTCCGTCAGAATTGGCACTTTTCGACACACATTCGCAATAATTACCAAGTATATCTACTCATCATGACAATTATCCCTCAATACTGAGAAATTAAAAAAAAAAAAACAAGGATGATGTTAATACTATCTGAGCTAGGGGCCAAAGTACCTTCAATTCTTTAAGTTACAGATAGGAGCCTCTTTCAAATTATGGAGAAACTTCGCTCATTTGACATTTTTGAATTGAAGAAATTCAGATCATTATGAAGGGTGATTGCAATCAATGCAGATTTTGTTTACTTACGTGCTGTTTACGGGTTTCCAAGTCATAGTCAAATTATCATTCGGTTGGATGTATACAATAAGCACGTAACGATGAACCCCTGAAATTGATTTTAAGATAATTAATACGAATCATCTGCAAACTGCACATACACACTTATAAATGCTTACACTCCCTGTCACTATTTTTTTTCTTTTTTTTTTAAAAAATGGAAACTGCATTGACTATGTGCAACTTCAAAAAACTTACTAGCTAGACGAGTTGCAAATATAAGGTCCTCTGAAACTCGTTTTTGCAATATCGCTGAAAAAATGTCACATTGATAAGAAAGTCAACAGTCTAATACTTACATATTAGCTCTTATACCTAAGCAGGAAGTTGCCAATGCATCCATGACCGCGTGAAATTTTACTTTGTATAATATACTTTGAATTTTCGATGAAAGAACTTCCTCGCGTCGATGTAAAACTTCAAATAAATGCGAGATTTACCTGATCCTTGAGTCACTTTTGGTTGCTTGTACTCAATTATTTCGTCTCCTCCTTCAATGGCGTATGAATGAATGTTTGTGATGAGCCAGAAAATATATTCTCTTTTACTGGGATTTTTCTCCGTTGGCTCGTCCAGACCTAGAAATATTCAAAACATTGGGTAGTAAAATTCAAAGAAAAATATTAATTAAAAATAAAACATAAATATGTATAAAAATCAGAATTTAAATAAATGATGCTAAAAATCCTGCCTCTCGATCTTAGTATTTCAACATTTGTGCTCTTTTTCATATTTTATTGAAGGGAATGAGATGATAATTTTTAACAACTTTTCTTCACAATTGCTCTATGGTTAATGCTTAATTTTTTAGATTACCATTGACAAAGATTTGAAAAATTTAAAGAATAAATTTTCTGAGACCCATTATGTATCATCGTTCCATCCTGATGTCAACAGAATGGAAAAATGCTACGACGCATATTGAAAGTCAACGTAACCAGAAGCTTATTGAAAAAAATCAATAAAAATGTTGTTTTAATGTTACGGTCATAGAGAAATTCACCTTTTCCATTCCGTTTTTCTAATTGAATTTTGAAAGAAAAGAGTAATGATTGATTTCACAAGAACAGGATTAGAGGTGTTGCCAGTTTGATTTTTAATGTTTTCAAATACCTATGTGGAACACAGGGCCGGATTAAGGGGGTGGTCACATGGGCCGCGGCCCATGGCGGCAAATCTAGGGGGCGACAAATTTTGCAATTTTTTTAAATGTAGGTATAAAAAAAATCGGATTTAGAAAAAAAAATTACAAACGAGAAAAGGCTACAAAATAATCTTTCATTTTCTGAGAGTATAGTAATTTCTAATTTTGTCGTCTTTCAGTGATACAAGAGACAGCACCTTTAATTAGTCGAGTTAAGAGAGAAACCAAACACACAATTTGGCCTGGAACGGCGACTTAGGGAGAAATGATGACGAGGACTTGAGATGAAAAGGAGAAGCCCTCAGCGCGGCAATCCTCATGTAACACACACAAATACCTCACGCATTGCATCAAACACAGTGCGGTCATTGTGGTTAGCGTGAGACGGACAGCGCCTACAAGACTGCGTGAATACTTCACGCATTGCGCAAAACATGGTGCGGTCGGCGCGGCGCGACGGCGGAAGTTAAAATCATTAAATCAAATTTTAGAGGTTTGTTCTTTCCTAATTTTTTCGTCCACTTCTTATGAATGGAAGGCCTTGTCCATTAGAGATAGGTTTACGAAACTTGACTTCCGTGACTTTTTGCTAGTAGTGTTGACAGGGCTTTCCCAAAAATGTGTTCAACACAAGTAAACGCGTCTTATGCACCCCTATCCCGCTGGCACGTTCACTTGATGGTTTTTATTGATGTTTCAAAACGAATGAGAAGGGGCGGAAAAATACAGGCGGCCCATGGGCGGCAAGTAGGAAAATCCGGCCCTGGTGGAATAGATTAATTAAACGAGAATAACATAACCATTGGAAACTTATAGTATTCATGAGCCTGCATGGATGCAAAACAAATGTATGACATTACTGTCACTGACATTTTTAGACCAAAAAATCTTATGACAGTTATAGAATATACATAGGCAGTCCCAAAACAACTGACACTAAGGCTGTCATTCGGGAACTACAATAGATATCGACATGCGGTTTGCGAGAGATGATAGCTCATACTCTTAGCTCTTAAACGAGCCTAAGTTGAGCTAGTTTGGTTAAAAACTCAACGAGTTACATCAATTTTCCCGAGACGTGTAAGTAAATACCCCTACGGATTTTTCGGTAATTTTTCATTCCGTTAACTTTGCCTCCGCAAGCTTTGCAAGTGGTTCAGACGTTATGAATCAAGTTTCCACTTGGCTGGATGCAAGTTTGAACTTTCCAGCAAGTGTTTCCATCACAGCCGAGTAGGTTTTTTCTGTTTGCAAAGTCCATTTAGTGAAATTGTCCGGCCTGATAACGCGTTTTTTTGTGTTTCGTCATGAGTTCACCCGCGCAGTTGAAGCAAGAGCAACGATACGCAATTCGATATTGCGTTCGTCGTGAATTACATGCTTCTGAAACTGTGAATGAAATGACAGTGGCTCAGAAGAGTTTCAGAAGCAAATAATTCACAACGAACGCAATATCGAATTGCGTATCGTTGCTCTTGCTTCAACTGCGCGGGTGAACTCATGACGAAACACAAAAAAACGCGTTATCAGGCCGGACAATTTCACTAAATGGACTTTGCAAACAGAAAAAACCTTCTCGGCTGTGATGGAAACACTTGCTGGAAAGTTCAAACTTGCATCCAGACAAGTGGAAACTTGATTCATAACGTCTGAACCACTTGCAAAGCTTGCGGAGGCAAAGTTAACGGAATGAAAAATTACCGAAAAATCCGTAGGGGTATTTACTTACACGTCTCGGGAAAATTGATGTAACTCGTTGAGTTTTTAACCAAACTAGCTCAACTTAGGCTCGTTTAAGAGCTAAGAGTATGAGCTATCATCTCTCGCAAACCGCATGTCGATATCTATTGTAGTTCCCGAATGACAGCCTTAGTGTCAGTTGTTTTGGGACTGCCTATGTAGGTACCCGTAACTGACAAAAAAAATTAAGAAAAAACTGTCTTGATAGTTAAGTGACTGGAATGCCATTATGCGGTCAAGAAGTTTCAGAAACGATAATTTCTCATATTTCCTTGCGAAATAAAATGCAGGGTCACAAATATAAAAAAATTTAAAAAATAATAATTGTATTATTTTTCAATTTATGTGTTCAAAAATGCAAAAACGCTAAAATCGGAATTCTGCCGTGCTAAGGAAAAACGCCGTATGAACGTTCAACCATTGCCTAATTTTCTCTCGTAAAATACGAATTAATTGAGAGGAGTTGTAAATATCTTCCTCCAAGTGTTTCATACAATTTTCCTTGCAATTTAATCTAAAATATCTGAAAATTTCTAGGAAAAATATGCACAAATTTCGTGAAAAAACACATCCTTAATCCAGGGAAATTCGGCAACTCTTGGATGTTCATACGGCGTTCTCCCTTAGCACGGCAGAATTGGAGACATCATATTCACACTATCGCATTATCCCTGCAATATCTACGTAAGTTATATGGTTTGGAGAAAAATTCTCACCCAAAAGCATCATCGTAAAATGATCTAGTTGCTTTGCGTCCCATTCAATGTGCTGAGCCAACCATTCAGTGTCAGCCGTTGGCTGAATGAAGTTTCCGTAATATATGGTTTTGTCTTCTTCGAATTCAGCCTTTAAAAACCCAAAAGTAAACTTAATTAACTCTCAGAACTATGCCAGAAAAACCATTTGCATTACTAACGATTTGACACGTATTGAAAATTGTGAACTTATCAGCAAAGCTGAATAATGTACGTGCACAATGCTACCATTTCAATGAAATAAATTATACCATTGTTACAACTTAATCGACTTGTCACAGTCTACATAAAACTACCATCGGAATGAACTGGCTAGAGAATTCTGGCTAGAGAAATTGCTGTAAATTAACACCATTTGTCATGAAATTAGCGTTAAACTCGTACAACCATGAAAAATCAAAGTAGGTGTATTATCCTTCCAGTCCCTGAAAAGAGTCAAATAGGGATATGTGTTTGTGATTTTAAGTTGTGATTGAACTGTGTCTTAATTATTATCTAGGAAGGTAAGAATGACTCATTGAGCCTTAAAATCGTTTCAGTTTTCAAATATTTTAGAGAGAGTTCCCTGGCTTGGGTGGAATGTCTTTCTGTGTCCGTAGATTCCCCTTGGTGGCATTTCAAGGCGTCATGAAACGCCTAAAAATTTGTATCAAATTGTATCATCAGTTTTGTTGTGATATACCATGAAGTGCTGCTCAACAAAATAAAAACATACATAAATTAAAATTAAATAGATCTGAAAACTCACCCACAGATCATACTTGGATATGCCATCAACGCAGTCTGGGATAATCCGGTGCTTCATTAATGCGGCTTGCATTTTGATCGGCTGTATCCCAACTGGCCATTTGAATTTTTCGGCATGGCTTACAGCAAGTGTGTAAATTAAATGAAGTAATATAGGTAGTGCGGAAGTCTCTTGACATTGCCTGATCATTTTCGTAACTGTCCTTAGAGGACTTTATTTAATCGAGTCTCCTGGGGACAGTTATGAAAATAATCGGGCAACTATATGATTGCTGCAGATTCCAAATGTCCTCTGTTTCTTAGCTGAGGGAACTGAATTGTATTTCAAAGTTACAAAATTTACTAAATATGTTTAAAAATGTACAAAGATATAAAAATGCTAACACTTTTAAAATGTTGCTAATTTCTTAGTGTGATTATTGAAAAAAAAATTCAGCGAATTTTTCAGTCCAAAACATCCGACAGTTTATCGATAATAACAAAATTTGCCGGTATGGTAATCGTGTATCGTTAAAATGCAGTTACATTCATTCGTTTGAGGAACAGCAAATTGTAGGCGTCGCTGAAAAGACGCGACCTTCTCTGAAAAGTTTTTATCTTAAAAAGTTCAGTCTTTAAAAGATTGCTGTTAAGATAGATTTACAGACGTTTAGATGAAATAATAATTCAGCCATTTTCTTTAAAAACTCGCACAACATTTTCCGTTAGAGAAACAAATTCAGAAAATATTATTTCAGATTTTCAGAAAATATATTTTTAAATAGATGCTCATGTATAATTTCTTGAAATTTAAAAAAAAAACATATTCGAAAAAATTTAAAGTTATAATCCTCTCGAAACTATTTCATTTTCTGGTGAAAATAACTTTGCAGGTTTGAATTTTAACGAAATGGTTCGAGTAAAAACATGCAGTGCAATATTGAGGGGCAGTTTTTTTTTATTTTTAACACACACCATTTCAGAAAAGAGGAAACGGAACATTACGAGCCGAATAATTATAATCGGGTAAATCTTTTTTAAAATTTTGCTAGGCAGCTAAGAAGAAGGAAATCAAGGTAACTCTATTAGCTGATACATAATTGTACTTAGAGAATAGAATGATATGATACGATTAAAATTAAATAGATGTAGTAAGGATGATGCTTACGGGATCTACTTACTATATTGGTCAAAAACATGAAGTGAAACCACGGTTCAGGTGGAACGAAAAACCTAAAATGATCTGGCATTCCTGTATTACCTAATCATTAAGTTAAAGTCCTTTAGCTTTATCACATATTTCTTCTAAGCTCGTTTTCTGCAAATATTTGAATATATACTCGTCATTTTTTCCTTTCAATTTATTTTTCCTATTTTTTCGTCGTTTGTCAATCACACACAGCATCAAATATGCACCCACTCAACTACCTGTAATTTTGCAGGCTAGGTCAAATTTGTAACTCACTTAAACTATTAACGGAAAAGAAAATCTTCATTGATAAGCTATCATTTTGAGAGGTGAGCCGATACGAAACAAACAGCCTTTTTCTGTGAAAATATCCGTATATTTGAAGAACATCTGAAGAATATGAACTAGTGCACATCTAGCACATCAGTGGTTACGCATCCACGTCATCATTGATTGTCACGCAGATAATGCTGGCTAATAAGGCACGGCTGGTGTGGTATTGAAAGTAATGATTAATGCGAGCAAAATAACTTTGAAGTCACATTATTCGTTTATCCAATGTGTGTGATCAGAGGTTGAGATTGAAAACCGTGTTACTGTGATTCATCCCCGTCAGCAGTATGTACAATGTACATGCCTTACTTCCGTTTACTCTAAAATCTCCTTAATTTCACAAAATGTTACAAATCATCATCACTATATATAAATATATTTCAAGCATCCCTTCTCATTTAAAAAAATGAAAAAAATGAGTAAACAAAAAGCTGGAAAATGTCCGCAATCCTTCGAATCCAAGATTGCAGGCTCGCGGTGTGAACACCAATAGGCAACCTGGATATCCTAACCCTACACTAACTCCTAACCGTGGTAATAACGTCTTTTATGAAGAAATTCAACCTTTCTGTGATGGAAGAAAGAAGAATTTACTAGAGTTAAGTAGCACGCCAAACGTCACTTTGACAGTCTCCAGTAATATGAAAATATGGCAACATCAATCTTGAAGCTAAGCTCAAGCTGTACACACTTTGAATTCAGATCCCGTAACCAATGGACAATTAAAACGTTAATTGCTTAGCTAGACGTTGATTTCGGTAGTTCTTGTTGCGCGAATTGTGTTCTGTATAAAATTCTGTTGAAGAATCACGTATCAGAGTTCTAAAATTCTTAATTTGTTTAATGGTCCATTCAATCTAAAAAAGCTAATATAGAAAACTTTTCTAACGTTTCTCAGAAAAAATGTTTTATTGGGAGAAACGAAACAACGTTGGACTACTCATACGGTGTCGAAATACAACATGGGCCTATTAAGCCCCATTCTTCAATGCTGCGATTATCCTAACACCAGTTCGAATAATCGCGCCGAAGACGGTGCGGTCGCGTCGGTGTCAAACTCATAGTAGCGCCTGCAAGACTGCATGAATACTTCTCGCATTGCACCAAACGTATTGGGAGAGTTATTTGCTATAACTACTCGACCGCGGGTATAGGCACATTTCCGCTAACTGGCTATTGAAGGCGTAATACATTGTGAAGATGACTCGACAGTCGACACTCGACTGAGACCCCCTCCCTGGCTTGCACGACGCTAAAATCGCCTTAAAACTAGGTCCACGCGTCATTTCTTTTGACGGTCCCCAGTTTTTGCCACAATTAAAAGGTAAATAAGTATCTTAACTGCAACGATTCAGCAACTCGAACGATGTTCAAACGATGCAGCGATTCTGAAATTTGATTCGCGTAAAATTAATTTTGGTCTAATAAAAAGAAAGCATCGAACGGAAATATCGCGTCGAAATTTTTTGTGATTTTATTTCAAATCACTCCGGGAATTTCTCGGAAACTTCTACAAAAACTGTGTGTAGCTTTTTATTTGATAAAAAATAAAAAAATTAGTAGAGATTTGCAACGTTGCAATTGGAGACAAGAAAACTTTTTTTCCTCGTGCAGACGTCAATTTTTGATTTCATTAACGGCAGGCGTAACGAGATAACTATTCGACCATGGGTGTAGGCATATTGCCGCTAGCGGAATGGAAGGCGCGTCACGCTGCAAAGATGACTCCACCGCGTTCCCTTTCCTGGCTTGCGCGACACTAAAGTCACCGTCAAACTAGGATTACGTGTCGTCATTCTAGCCTCTCTGCTCCTGTTTTTACCATAAGTAAAGGGATATATGTGTCCTCGTTGTAACCATTCAGAAACTCGGAGGATATTTAATTTTTTTGTTCTGTTACATAAAATGAAAATAAAATGAACGAAAATATCGCGTCGAAGTTTTCGATGCTTACTTTTGAGATCATTAAGGAAAGTTCGTGAAAAAACTGTGTGTAGCTTTTTAAAAACAAAGTACAAAACTAAAACATAACATTTGGCACACAACGTTACAATCAGAGACGAATACGCTTCCTTTCGCATGCACTCGTCGGCTTTTGAATCCATCAATCTCTTAAATAACTTGAACGTGGTTATTCTCCTATTTTTCACGTTTAGCTTTTCTCAGTGGTTAGCGACCGCATAGCGGCCCCAGGCCCCTAGTAGCTTTGATATTTGCTTAGACAGAGTCGTAGGAGGAAGTAGAACTTTTTTGTAGGGGGCGCAGGTAGGCACTTTAGTACGGAAGGTCTCAGGGAGACAGAAAGAAACCCAAGTAGGGGGCTATAGGGTCACTCTCCTAGGTTTTGAGGGGGTTTGAGGGTCTCTATAAAAACATTTTGAAAAATGATACGTCTCAGGAGCAAAAAACCTTTCTGAAAGAAAAATCAATGGAAATAACATTCACAGACGGCAGAAATGTCTTGCAGTTATTTCGTAATATTTCCTAAATTTTCTGCAGAAGGCCAAGTAGAATTCCTGGAGGTCGAGGGTGGGGTTGGCCCTCGTAGCTTCCCCTATGTGTACATTTCAAAAGCGATTAAAGTATTCAAATCATTCCTGGAGGCTCATAAATCAATTTATGGGTCCAAAATTATGTGATAAGAGTATAACGAGTGAGGAATCTTAAAATCTCATAATATCCAGGATTGGAAATACCTACTTATGACACTTTGCTTTAATTTGTGTACCTTTTTTTCATTATCGAGGGGAGAGTTATCCATCCTCAGTAATGACTGCATCGAATTAATTTGAATGTAGGGTACGATACCCTTTAAAATTGGAACTGAAAATTACAACTTACATTTTTATTGAAGGAGTCGGGACTCTGGATACACCTAGTATGTTTATACCTGCAGCCCGGAATGGTGATGAAAAAGCATAGTGTATCATTTGAAGGCGTTTTTTGATCCAGCATCAAATCTCTATTCATGGATATCAATAAACTCTCTTAATGCATGTAATTATAGTGCTGGTATATATTTGAAAAATAGTGAGGATGAATCTTCAACCTCCTCTCTCTCTTTAAAACTTTTGGAAAAACCTTTTATCTGCTCCAAGCCAATCTGTGTCTTTTTGCCACCCAATCATTCATTTGTGAAGATAGCAATAATTGAGGATCGTCATCGATGGCCAAGGAGCAGTATCGCATATCCGCAAACAGATGAGCAGGACAAAGAGGAAATTTCGCACATTTTAATTTATGGTTAGATTTGCAAATTTTTTTCATATATCACAGCATATTTACAGCGCTCCAGTATGAAATTGGAAAATTACTGAAAACATCAGATTATTTAATACTGATGAATGCGTCAAAGTCGCTAACTCGTTTCGTCGCCCTCCCGTCATAAGGACGTAACTACACTGGGCGATGAACCCTGTCGCACATATAAATCAATGTTTTCCCGGGCTCATCTCTAAGTGTAGTTACGCCCTAGCGTCAGCCAAGCGATGATTTTCGCCAAAATCGTCAGCTAGGCAGTATTGTTCCTCAGCCCTGAATATTTCACTCAATTTATCTTTTAAACTCAATTTTGAACACCCGAAGTCTAAAACAGTCAGATTCTTGTATAAATGAGTTCAATTTTATAATGACAGGGAGACTTGACCTCTATAATTTATTTGACAATGAGTGAATGATTGAAATTAACGACGTTCTGAAAATTAGACCCGTTACGAGTCTCGCAAAATATAATTGCATAACTTCTCCTTCGTTACTCAAGGTGGCATCATTACGAGAGCAAGACTAAAGGCTACGTGAGGAACCGCACACACTAACGTTTTCTGTGATTGTATTGATGATGTAACTCATATGGATTTTTTTCGTCATAATGGCACACTTTTTCACCATGCAATTTGACAAATGCACCATGATGACATTTTGGAGTTCTAGATAGTCATTTGATAAAATAAATTGCTCCATTTAATTGATATAAGTCATTATATTTTGTGTTCTAGTACATAAAGGCACTGACATTTGGTAAAATCAAAATCGGTTATCTCTTTTGATGGTATTGTATTAAAAATGTTGGCCAGTTGCAAAATAATCACGCACTCCTTCCATACATCCAGTTTCAAAAAAAATGCCATTAGATTTAAGCACGATAAAGCCTAATGAGTAATGCTCAATCTCTTAACAATATACTTAGTTATGGATATTACATTTGGTACTATGCGAATAATTAAGATTTTAACCATTCTATTCGTAGAATTCAAACATTTGGTAAGCGCTTTCGGGTGTTGCTCAGCCTGTGCATCGGCGGTTACAGCAAATTGGCAACATTGTTTTTCTCCATTGATACCTATGGAAATGTATCGATTCTTGAAGGGGCCAGGTGCCCCGACAAGAATCGATTATTTAACACAGGTTTAAATGGAGGAAGTCCGGTGTTGCCAAATCGCTGGATCCGCCTCTGAGCCTGTGTATGATGTTACTCACCGTTAAATGCGATTGCTTTGTACATCTCTCTCGTGGAAGTTTTCTCCGAATATTGGCCAAATTTTCATGACAAAAGCTTTCTATTCGTGGGCATCGAATTCCCATTAAATCAGAGAAACAGTTTCACAGTTTTAGCTGTATCTGAAAGCGCCCATCAAGTTTTGAATTTCTACTCTTCAGTTTTGAAGAAGTAAAATACGAACCCATAAGGACCTTTAAGCATCTTCTAGGATGATTTAAAATCATGGTTTACGTTTGGTGGCTTAATAAAAAAGGCAGAATGAAGAAAATAAAGTACTCAAATGGAGGGGATATAGCAGACTAAGCGAGTTTTCTCTTTTCATTTTTTATCCCTTCCCATGGCTCCCAGGAAAGAGGAAGAAGAAACAAAGCACTGAGTTCCAAAGTTTTCAAAATCTTTCTTCCAGTCAAATATATACATCTGGTCAATCCACTGGCATGGATTTCTAGTATGAAATACTTTATTCCAATACTCATCAAAGTTAAAATATTTCAATGAACAGTTTAAAAATAAATTAATTTGGCATTAATGTCTAAATTTCACCAAACTTTTGGAATTTAAAACTGGACGCTTCATTCAAAAACTCACAATTTATTTTCACAAAGCACGCATAACACTGAGGCAAACGAATCTAGGACAACAAAAATCATTGTAGAGGAAATTTCTTCGATAATGTATAAAAAATTGAAAAGAAGACAAATAAATTAAGTATAGGTGGGTTATATTTATAATTGCTTTTACTACAACAATTACTAAAAATAAATAAGTGTTAAACATTTTAAGATTTTTTTTTTATGTTTCTTTACAAATTTTATTGAAAAAAGACTGATGAAATGTATGCGTGTAGACATTTTATTCCTATAAATCCAGTGTGGAGCTCACTATTTTTGCTGACCTTCGAGGTTTCACCTGTGAATGCTCAATGACGTCTCAGTCAATAAAAACTCAAAAGATCTGCAAAATATGTTCTCAAAAGAGTGAAGTTGTTATCTAATGAGTGGTGCACGAAATACTGCAATGGCATTTGTTATCAATATCACAACTTTTTCCATTGAACTTCGCAAATATTACTGTCATTAGTAGAAAAACAAAAACAGGCAACTGGATAGATACACGCATTGAAATACAAGCATCTACATCCTAAATACAATGTCTTGAATTAGCTGCACAATAATTGTATCTAGATTAGTTAATTTATTATCAATTCTACTCGGATACAGAAGTAGATGCTCTAACGTTGGATAATTTTTTAAAGTTCAACGCGTGAATTTATGACCAGGACCAGGGTCTATGGGAAATGATACGAGTAGCGTTAATATTTTAAAATTACCAAGTACACACTGTGCTTAAACGCATAATACAGTCCTAACTATATTTCAAGATTATTTGAGTGTAGTCCAGACCATGAATTGCAAACTTGAAGGCTCAATTTAACAGAATTTTAATTGTAAAGTTATAAAATATCTTTGAAAGTTCAATGTTCTTGCGCAGGGCTATTTTCATATTATTGATTTATTGAGTTTTTATTTTATTTTTATATTTTTTTGAATTTTTAATTTACCTAAGAATTTTCTAACTAACACAAATTAATAAACATCACAAAGAAACTACAGAGAACTCTGATCAACAGAGAGAACAGCAATTAATCTAATTTTACCCTCTCTCCCCCCTCATTTAATAGGAACTTCATTTTTGAGTAAGCGCATTGCTCTTGATCACAATATTTACCGAACATACTTTACAGATCTGCAGGCACTCCCCTCAGGATGAATTCAGAGTAAGTTACTGTCTTGGTCAAAAAAACTATGAGTATAAATGTCAAGTACCCATTGCTTTTGAGAGTATCTAAAATCTGAATTCAACCCTGCAATTTAACCAAACAAAGCCGTTGAAATTGGACTAGAGTCTCTATTCATGATGAATATAAATAATTATATTTAATGACCTTACGGCTAATATTAAATGTTCGCTAATTTGCGCTAAAAAATTTACTAGTCGTAAAAAGTCTTTTTGTTACGAGAAAAAGTTGGACTTTAGTGTTCTGGCTCCTTTTTTGTCGACGTATTTGAGATTCAAAGCAAATATAGATAGGTTACGACCTTTAGTGTGACCTATGATCACGCATCATGTAGAAAATGATGCTTCAAGAGCCACACTAAAGTCAATTTGATGCTCTTGGATGTAGGAGTCCTCCTAAAGCAGAAAAAATTCATAGATCTAGGAATTTGCAAAATTCAGTGAAGTTTGTTTCCAATCTTCTTGAGTCCAAACTGAACTGTAGTCCAAACTATTTTTTCAAAACTAAAGACTTACGAGTTTGTACGAGCGCACATTCAACATCAACAGCAAAAGTTCTTATTCCTGTTTACAACGACACTATTATATGGCTAGGCAAGAGTCCGAACACAAGTCTTTTTGACTGAACAATATGTGTTACAGCGGGCCCTGGGGGCAGAAATAACACTGCACTGCTTCCTACAGGAACACACACTGCGCATTAGCAAATTCTGCCCAGAAGAGGGCACTATCTCCAATAAATAACGACGCAAGAACAACAGGAAGAAGGACCGCCATCCTTACTGCGTGATGCAATTTTTCAATCAACCACGTGGGTGCACAGTCAGAATTCCTGTTAGGTTAACTTGAACGTCCGATACACGCATTCGAAGTTTAAAAAAGCTGGATGAGGGCTTCGATTTTTGCTGGCGTGCTCAAGAGTAATCATGCCTTAATGAATGAGGAGTCACTCCCATCTTTAAGTCACATGACCGGAAATGCATCATGCGATGTTCGCTATTTTGACTGCTCTTGTTGACTTGCTGTGTTCCTTTTTCGCTTGAGATGATTGCGGGGTTGTACTGGGAGCTGCTTCCAATTTCTTCATGGAATCATAACCAAAATCGTGTCACTCACGCTGCCGTGCTACAGAAAAACGCCGTATGAACCTTCAGGCGTTGCCAAATTCCCTTCGAAAAACAACGAATTCTCCTGAAATTCTGGAATATTCCTCCTTCGAATTTTCGGAAGCTTTCGTTCGAAATTAGATCTAAGCAGTTTGAAAATTTCAATGAAAAATATTCACGACTTTCCTCAAAAATCGACATTTTCTGAGAGGAAATTTGGCAATATTCGAATGCTCATACGGCGTTTTTCCTTAGCAAGGCAGAACGGGAGAGAATACATTTTTAAATTCAAAACTTGCAGCAGCCAAAACGAGATCCACAAACCAGAGCAAAATGCCCGCAGAGCAAAAAGGCTGCGCTCTTTCCTGTACGTGCCGTTTTGCTCTCAGTCGATTCATGTTTACTTTAAGGAGATGAGATCTTTTCTGAATGGTGTGTTCAACGCTGAAACTTCCTCGAAACTCGATGAGACTTTCACGGCATTCCTAGCGTTTTTTCATTCCGGGGTGTTATGGAGGAGACGCGAGGCTCTCACATGACGCAGTCCGACTTGAAGTTGGAGGCCAGGTAGTAGAGGTGAAAAGCAGAGCAGGACATACAGAGAACGTTGCCGATGGCGGCGCACAGGTGGAACTGGCGGAAGGCCTTGTGGAGGGCCATATAGTGCGGGCAGGAAGTGAGCGGCCCCAATCTGTAGCACCCGACCTCTTGCCCGACCCCGACGGACTTCTCGATTCGGGACTTGATGTCGATCAGACGCAAAGTCGGTGGCGCGATGTACAACCGAATCAGGAGCTCCAACAGGAAGCACAAACTCAGAGCTGCGATCTGGAACATAAAACAAACCGATTTTTTAGCACACTTGTAGAGTCATGATAAAGTCGCACCAGGGACAAACATAGGCGGATCCAGACGACTCGAGCGGGGGAGGGGGGCGTAAGGGGGACCTGGAGGGCTTTCTCAAAATTTGTCGAAATTTTAAAGCATCTAAGATGCAGTTAGAGTCAATTTCTTCTTGAATAAGTACCAAATATAAGCGTCCTTCCTTTTTCTCTCCTTTTCCTCTTTTTTCTTTACTTCCTTTTTCTTACTCCTTTTTCTTACTCCTTTTTTTCGGGCTAAGGGGAGGAAGGGGGGGGGGCATGCGCCCTTTCTCCCCGGCTGCATCCACCGATGGCGACGAAATATTTGATGAGTCCGCTTTCTAAAGACTAGAGAACCCCTTCAGGAAGAGAATGGACACTGAATCTCATGGAGACCCTTAGGATTTAAAATATGTCGGCAACTCTGGGAGGGAAGGGGTTCTCCACGGTTATCTATTGCTGCACTTGGTAAATACCTTGCCGTAGTAGAGGTTTAGGTTAAAAAGATTTTTTTCGAATATACACTGGTCAAAAGTGATTTAAAAATGATCAAATGCAACTAACTATGTAAGTATTTTGAGTTGCAGTAGCATTGATACAAGCAATCAAACTAGAGATGGACCTCTCAGGGGCCAAATTCTCCCACAAAAGATCCCTTACTAAAGATATTCCAACAGCCGGGATAACCAGGACGGGTGGTGTCTCTATTTGCTACCACCCAGTTACTGTTTAGCTCCAATGAGTTACTTCCTTTCAATTAAAGAGACATGAGATAAAAGCCTGCATGATGTCTCTAAAATATGTTTTCTCTGCTCGCACTAGGTAGATGAGAAGCAGCTCAAACTTGAACATCGTTCTCATTCTTGAAACTATGATACTACTGTTGCCTATCTCGCGTTTTGAAGGCGAAACAATGTTCGGATCAGACAAGTTTAATCACAAGATCGACGATCATCTTCAGAATTCGAGTGGGTGAGATGTGCCCTGACCCAATCCAAAAGATTAATCTAGAAGGCATTATTCAAGCCCTTGGCCCTTATTCAGGCGTTTCTTGACTAGACAACAACACAGAAGCTAAGTTTCCTCGGTGTTAACTTTCAGAATCAAGGAAGATTCCCTCATTGCGCGTGCCACTAAATCAACGGCTTACTTAAGGCGATTCCTCTTGCTCATGTGAGGCCTTCGAAGGCGAGGTTCCTTTTTGGGTCTCTGCCACAGCCGGATCAGTCCTTGGCATCATTACGCGACAGTTGGTGAGAATTTACAGTCTTTGCGCTGACACGGGGGGTCGTAAATATTGAAGAGTTGCGTTTTGTAAACGTATTCAAAACCAGCTCCTGCAGTCCTGCCAGGGCTTGCACGGTTCTTTTGAAGTGAATCCAACTCATTGCAGCGAAAACCGATCACACGGCAGTTCCGTGAGATACGATGTTTGTGCTTTGAAATAAATGACCCGATAGGGAATCTTGCTGATATTTAAGATTGTGTCACGTTGACATGGTGATTTGGAGAGAGATTTGAAGTTCTGCCGACATGCAGGGACAAATAACCATGTCCCTTTAGCCTAAATCGTCTTGGTGAAAGTGGAACTATGACGCAAGTTTTCGATGAGTTAGGTAAGGCCGATAAGAGAAAGGACTGATGATTCTATCTGGATAATGCACCATTATTACAAATGGACAAGGATTTACAGGAGGGAGGAAAATAAATATTGCGATCGAACCAAGATAATTAGGATCTAAGTTGAAAGTTGCAATTTTCTGAAGACTCAGTATTTAGGAGGCAGTTCGATGCCTCAATTCACATTCAAATTAATCTCTTTCCAAATGTTTAATTTTTGACTGGAGAAAATAGGTGGCTTTGTTGAATTCTAAGCTTCACTTCACTAAAAAGTAATTCGGTTCTTTTTTGTATTGCCCATCACTGGAATTCTGGGGAAAGTGTGGGTACTGAATCCACGCAGATAAAGGGCACCGATTGCACTGAAGGTGAAAGAAATGTATGTTTCTTACGTAATATTAGGCTGCGTTTGAAAATAATCTTTGGCCGTTTCCATCACGTGCAAGTTTTTTTTTGTTATTTTTGTTTTGGAAAAATTTGAATATCTATAAAAACACGCTTCTCCACGAATAATATATTTTTCAGCTTTCACTTGAAGATGCAGCGATCACCCTCTTTCTTTTTTACATGAAGTACAAATGTGACTGAAATTTAAAGTACCTGTGCGTAAATAGCGTGGTCCCATTTTTCGTCAGCGGCGTGAATGCGACCGAACTGTACAAGGATGACGGCACTGAGGATTGAGTTGCAGGTGAAGTAAAGAGGGAACAGAACTTTCTGAACGTCTCCGAATGAATGCCTCGACAGATTAAAGTAGAGTGAAATTCCTGTAACACACAACGCATACATTCTCAATCAACTGAAATATCACAATAGTATTGCATTTCACAAGTTATATGGTATAAGTACAAATCGATGAGTATCAGACCTTTAAAATTCCCAACCGCGCACTAGAAAAAAAAAACACATTGGATCTGGAGTTCAGACTCTTAAAAACATCGACAAGAAAAAATACTCTTGATTCAATCAGATTTAAGTTTAAATCAAGAACCAAGCCTCTAAATTTGAGCGGATTTCCTTTTGATTCAAGCTTAAATCTTATTGAATCAAGAGTCTTTTTTCTTATCAATGTTTTCAAGAGTCTGGACTCTAGATCCAATGTGTTTTTTTTTCCAATGCGCCGTAAATGACATGCATTTTGTACTGACATCATTTTTCGTGAAAAGTTGATCTAATTTAGTGAGGATTACAAGTATAAACAAATTACAATGAACATAACTTTACAAATGATAATTTATTTTAATCCAAACAGCTGTAAAAATTATTCCTCAAAAATTTAAAGAAGTTTTCGCTATTAATTCACGAGTGCACAAAATGCCTAAAACTTTTGTAACCTCTTTCTCACGGAAGGAAAAGAGGATTAAAGGAACAAAAATGTGTCTGCGTTTTAACAAATGATCTTTTAACACTGTATAATGTCCGTTGATTTATTTAATGTCACTATCGATAGCATAACTTATTTCTCTTATAATTTATCGTCCCCAACGCGAGAATTTAAAGGACAAGCAAACCTATATTTAACAGGATATTTCAAGTTATAAAAAGACCAATTATCATAAATTTTATTACTATTAATTCCATGCGAAGCATTCTTGCACCCAAATGAAATATCATGGGCAAATGTTTATTTAAAACCTGATCAACTAGTCGAGGTCTGACCATCTCGATGCGTTGGATGAAGAACCTCGAGATAATGTGCCATTTCTTTTTCCTTTCTGATTGTCTATTAATGTCGCATGCTAAGGAAAATCGCTTCATGGGCCTCCAAACGTTGCCATATTCCTTCTGATAAATTACGAATTTTTCGGGAAACTAGCAAACACTTTTTTCCAATTTTTAAGGAATTCTTTTTGTAATCTAACCTAAAATATCTAAAAATTATCAAAAAAAAAAAAAAAAAAAAAAAAAAAAAAAAAAAAAAAATATTGATAACTTTCGTCGAAAATAAGTATTTTACTGGAGGGAATTTGGCAACATGTGGATGATCATACAGCGGTTTTCCTTTCGCACGGAAGTATTTGAGGCAGACATTCTACGCTATGCGATAAATTGCAGAGAACATTGCCATTTAGGTGAGTTAAGCGACGGTCAGTTGGTGTAGCGATGTAACTTATTTGACTTCTTCCCGCACGGTTCTCCGAATAAGAAGGAACGGCTGCGGTTGCAGGCTCGACGATCAGTGGTGTGGCGTGCTTTGCGATGTATCGAATGATCTGCCATTTAAACCTATGGAAAATGATCGATACCGGGTTGTTCGCAACGAACACCTTAATAATCGATTCTTTGCCGTAGTTTCAAATAGGGAAATGTGGGCAATCGATCATTCACGCCTCGCCACTCTCTACGATGTATTTGAGGAATGCAAATTAACATTTGGACGATCGCCTCGATTTTTGGCTTTGACTCCTTGACCCTAAATGTCAAGCCGATCCATTAGTGATCCGTCCATAGAGAATGCGAATCGGACGCAGCTGTTGCAAACTTGGAACCGCACATTAGTGTGCAACAAAGGAGCCGTTCATGCCATTCAAATTGTTGCAAAAATTCTAGCGTTGTCAACTTCTCAAAAATGATGTTTTTAAGGGACAAATGGACCGCGTTAACAGAAATGAACCAGGCCACATCAGCTTTTGTCGCATTTAATTGGGCAATTTAATTTTTGACAAGAAAACGGTTGCGCGGATTTTCGTGCAACATTCAGTGAATTTATTGCATTGTACGCTTCCTTAAAATTTTCAAAGGAGTCGTTCTCTTGTAAAAAATTAAAATGCCCAGTTAATTTTGGCAAAGGCTGATGTAGCTCGGTTTCTCTCTGCTAAACGTAGTTCATATGTGGTGCATCAGCACCCTCCAACTAGATCAGTCATCAACTCTTTTCAACATTTTAGAGGATGCTCGTGAGTTTTTAGGACAGCTGGAATCTCAACACTTTGACGACGTTTTTCCCCTTTGAGTAACACTCTTAAAATCGCCGGTTTCCATGTCCGAATTTTTTGGGGTTCCCCTTTCATTTGTAGCCAAACAAACTACATCTATTTCCATGAAGAACCCCTTTATGCATGTCCTATAAATTTCTATACTTCAATCTCGTTCTCAAAAATCCACACAGTAGCGATCTTTACATTCCAATCGCAACTTTACCACGGTTGCCAAGACGCCTGAAAATTCGAATTTTCCCTCAGTCGCACGTGGAGATTCGATAATCTAGTGTTGAAAATGGTGACTGGGTGTGTGATGTAAGATTCGAGCTTAAACGTTAGACAAACTAGTCTGAATGGAACTCGTTTAATTAAATTCCACGACGGATTGTTGTCAATCCTCGGAACACTGAAAGTCATTAACACGGCGGAGCCGAACATTTCAGGCGAAAAAAGTTGTGCAGGCACGGGCACGAGGCTTTCCCCGCGTTTCCACGCGAGAGTTATGACGAAAAGAAAACCCGGACGGCTTTGCGTTGGTTAGTCACAGACTTTGAATAAATTTTGGAGGAGACTCATAACTTTGTTCTCAATTTAAAAATTCCCAAAATGATTCAATGAATCATCTGGATAAAATATGCAATATCTATGATTAAAAATTGTATGAAACTGTTCTCAAACTCCACTGGGGGTTCTGAATTTCTACCTTTCAAGTAGCAACATTGCAACTGTTTAAATTTTTGGATATTTTAATTTGTGTAGTGTAGCGGTTTTCAAATTTTTCACCGGAATATCAATTGGAGCATGTTAAAATAGAAAGGTAAAAAAATATGAATAAAAACTTGGAATCATCATACTATGTGCTCATTTAATTGGATCCCTGCGTTCACCTCCAAATTCAATCTCGTTTTATTTGGCAAGGTTCACCAATTTTCGCTTTTCTCTAAATTTAGTGTTCCATGTTTTCTAGTTAAGCCAAATGAGGACTTAAAATCTAAATGTGAACTTAAAACTAAAAATGATGCAACTTGCCTCTTCGAACGTCATTTAGATTTTTTTTTTTTATTATTTTTTTTTTTTTTTTTTTTTTTACAAAACAAAAAATGCGTCGTTATGAATACCTAAGTAAAAATATGCTATACGGGGATAAATTAATTTTTGCGCCAGCCCACAGCCAACTAAGGCATTCTGGAGCGAGTCGTCCTCTTATTCTTATTCTTAAAAAGTGGATATGCAGTTATATTTCATGTAAAATTAATGCAATCCAGACCAGGAGTTTATCCTCTGGCAAGAGAAACGTGTAACTTTACACAGCAGTGCTGCTTCACATAGAATTAATTACAATATTTTAATTAATTCTCTTATAAATCAACTCAAAGAGGATAACGGCTCTCTGAAAGTAGTCAGATGCCCGGTCAATTCGATTTTATTCAATTCGCGATTAGATGAGCAGCGGGATGCCAGTAGCACTTCCAGGCCCCTGCACGTGACACGTGCGTAAAGTAATCTGGATCTCTTCCGATCGGCGAGCGATGCGGGTAATGTGCTGAAGAGGGCTTTAACCTGCACGGAATAAAGTGCAGTGAGGTCTGCTCCAGACACTTGAGTCAAGGATTAATTAAAAAGGTGGCACACGTGGAAGAGGTGCTAAATGAAATCCATTACCGGGCAGATTATTCGTATTCTGCTGACCGCGAGATAAGAGGACACCCTTTGAAGTCATAACCCGAGATCGCCACGTTTGGCTTGAAAAATGTAATGCACGGCTGAGGTGAGGTAGATGTTTTTTATTTTTATTTCCAATAAAATTCAATCGGATTGACTCTTTTTCTTTCTTTTTTAGAGAAATTTATTGGAAAGCGAGCATCTTAATGTTGATCACAATTGGATTATATTTTGCAATATGGAATCACTATCTCCGGATCTTCCATAGAAGCACCTTTCTGCATAGGGAAATCAATGTCTTATAAGTCGTTTCTGAAATAAGCCAGAATTGGTGGTTCCTTTTTGCAAAATTTGGTCCAATTATAACTTTGTTTGTCAGCGGGAAAATCGAGATAGAAATGGGTAGTCCCATTCATGCAATAAAAATCTTAATCCAAAACTTCGGAAATTTTTTTGAATATTGACGGTGAAACTGAAAAAATGCGTATCTAGGTTGTAGTGTTTTAAAATATCCCTTCCTACTTTATTTTTTAAAAGGAGACCCGATCAACATTATGGGTGGAAATTTTCACAGAATATTCACCACACAGAGAATAACAATCACCGAAATTTCCAAGAAAATACGTTGGTAGTTTCCCTCGTGGAAAATAAAGAATGTCGAAAATTCTGCAACATCTTAAACCGGGATACGTGTCGATTTCACTATCGATATATTCTATGTCTCTTTTTTTAATGGATCAAGCAATTTCAACAACGTTTAAATTGGAGTTCCCTTTAAAATGTTAAAATCAATTTTTCCGGGTAAAAAAACAACAAAATATGAACCTTCCTTAATTATTGAGGAACAGTGCTCAACGCTACTCACACCGGATCGAGTCAATAGGAGAGGTCGGACAAAATTTGGACACTCCCTGGTAAAAATTGGCGATAGGAGCTGCGTTTCAAAATACCATAGGAGTTCTTACAGCCGACTGAAGAAAGCGATAGAAAATCATATAGCTGGCTGTAGAAAGTGGGAAAAATCATACGGCCGGGCCACACGAAGCGATAAGAAATTAAACAGTCGGGCTATAGTTCCTGTCTCCGGGCTTTACACTTTATCGCCTGGCTGTTGCTTTTTCGCCATCGGCTATAAGAAATTGTGTAGAAATTCGTGTGCTTTGTAAATCCGCAAGTTTGAACGGAATCATCATAATATTTACAAAACGCACATTATTTTTTCCTTTACTACATATTTGTTTTCATCAATTAAAATGAGAATAATCCATATAAAGTGTGCAAACATTTCAAAGTCATGAGTTGAACAACGCTGACTCCACGAGATTAAATATTAGAGCCTAACACGAAGCGGAGCGGCGGCGCACTGGCGCCTACAAACCTAACAGGGATACTTCACGCATTGCGCAATGCGTGAAGTATCCCTGTTAGGTTTGTAGGCGCCAATGCGCGTTTCGCGCTGGCTGCTTGCCCGCCGCGCTGCGCCGCAGCGTACCACGGCGCTTGAAGTAACTATTTCACACCAGAGGTATTGCACAGTATCGTACGAAATTGAAGGCGCTCCAACATATTAGTAATGGCAGGGGGCAGGCATCCTTATAAAAGCACTGAGCTTCCCTCGCAAAATAAATTAAGATACTACGGCCCAAAAAGAGAGCGGTAGTCAAAAAACTCACTAAGTCCTAGCATCCGTAATTAGTAACGGATAGCGTACACTTTATCGTCAGGCTGTTGCTTAATCGTCATCGGCTATAAAAGTAGGCTATAAGAAATTGTGTAGCCGGCTATAGAAGCTATTGGAAATCTTACAGTCGGCTGTAGGTCTATGGTATTTTGGAACACAAATTCTACTGCCAATTTTTACCAGGGATTTGAACGTTTGTAACTCCGATTATACAATACTTTGTGATTTTAAAAGTGGTTCCATCGGGTTTCTCGTGAAATTTTCCTCTAACCGCCCCCATTATTATTTAAAATGTGACGAAACAAACATCAAAAATTTCCGTTTCCGTAAACAATTTCATGTCTGACCTCCCTTGTTGACTCGATCCAGTGCGCGACTGTCGGCTGTACTAATTATTATAAACAGAAAAAATGAGTTTTATGAACCGAATCTAAATTGTCAGCCAAGAAGCACCCTTCAGACATATTCTGTTCCATGCGGCAACTAACAATTCAGCTACTGGTAACTAGGCGTATTAGCAATGAACAGTAAGCTGTCTATACCCAAGAATCCTGGCAAGGTAGCCTCCCGCAAATTAGAGAGAAGAAGATGGATAACTCGATCAGGATTGGCCGGTGGGTCGATCTTGGCTGATCAGCTGTGAGTCCCCAGGTAAAAACAGACGTTTTATTGGCTGACTGAAGATTTAGCAATTTCGAGAGACTGAAACGCTCATGCGATTATGCGCCAGCATAGAGCCCCGCCTTGACATCTTTCCAGCCCGGCTCAAATGTGGCCATTAACAAGTTTTGCAGGCTGCACCGTCTCAGTTTTTACTCTTTTTTGCTCTTGATTCCGTGTAATTTTTTCCATCCGAAGAGAAAATTTAAAACTAATAGCATTTAGAGTCCCTTTGTGGAGAGAGTTGAGACAACGCGACTTATGGATGTCACAAACGGGAATAAAGATCGCACAAAACGGACGTTTTTTGTAATCTTCGATCAAACCATCCCTGAATTCCTGTATCCGAATTCCCTCTCTCATTCCATTTCTTCCTTGTAGTACCACCATTCCCCGGTCCATTCCAGTTTATAATCTTTGCAATGGAGAATTTGCAGGTGTCTGAAATTTGATGAATTTCATGTTTGAATGGACGCAAACCGAGTGAGCTGAACACGAGGATATCCTTGGTTCATAAATTGAACAATTAATGGAGGAGATCTAATCTGCTAAAATCCATGCGTTTAAATGGTAAATGCCGCCAGATGACGTCACTAGGCCGCGTATTTTCTCACTTTTAAATCTATCTTTATACTATATATGCCCCGTAGCCGAAAAAAATTATAAAAAATACCGTGAAATCAGCTCTTTAGGCACTTTCAGATGATGCAATTAAAATTTTGAATGCGAATTCTACATTGGTGAAAATGTAATCTTTATTCCCTTTTGTGACACTGCGAAGGCCTAAGAATCAGAAAAAGATTCGTATTGTCTTTACTCTCAGTGTTAAGGGACTCTACTGGCAGTTGGAATTTCCACCGATCTCCATAGTTCGAGAACTTGCCTTTCAGATATTGCTACGGAAGCAGTGCCCATCAAAGAAAAACTTTTCTGATTCTGGCTTTTTTGTTTGTTTTTTCTTCTTCTCTGGTTTACAAATATTGTTGGTCCTATGACGAGAATCCTCGCGTTACATGCGGTAATGGAGAGGTCGTTTTTGCGCGAGTCACTGAAGTGGCAAGCAATTATTGTCGTTTGGTGAAAATGACGCGCGAAAATGAATGACGGCGATTCCACATTTGGACGCATTTCCGACAAACGGAACTACGTGCATTATGACGTGAGCCCTGCTATTTATGTATTCTTAAGGGTCTCTGGGCTCATGTCTTAATGCACACAGTACCGTTTGACAGAAATATGTCCATTTATTTCTATTTTATTTGCCATCGGGAGTCGGCTTAAAGAAAGATTACGATCACCTGCGAGACTTGTAAAACGCATCATTACAGACATTCCCGTAAGAAAGATTTGGAATCTTTGGTTTATGAGTTTTCTCAGCTTCTTCTCGGACTTAAAAGTTCTGTACGTTCACATAACGAAAGATTTTTTTTATACTCAATGACGGCTGTTAAAATTTTTTTAGTATCTGTTCAAAACTCAAAAGAGTATTCATACGTGACCTTCCATGAGGAAAAGGAGACCTTAGTTCAGATGAGATCGAAATATTGTTAGTAAAAAGCACACCCTGGAAGAGTGTTCTAAGAACATTTGGGACGAAAAACATCCAGAAATGTCAAATCTAATACTGAATCTACAATGTTTTGATGCTTGCTATTCTAAACACGTAGTTTCAAGGAAAAGCTATTTAAAATTCTAATCCATCATGTTCAGGCTAGGGAATTTTGAGATTTTAATGCAGCTCTTGTATTGGCGCAGAAATGAATTGAGTCGCTCACAAGTCATTCATGAGGCATAGGGGTTTTATTCCTTTAAAATATCAAAATCCAGAGTTTCTGTCCAAACCTACAAAAATTGCTCCAATCAAAACATTTTCCTCCGTGGGAATTCCTTTTACCTCGAATGTTTATACACATCAATTATTAGAGAATCGCCTACTCAGCAAAATCACCAAATAATTCATTTTAAAGACCATTTCGCCAAAAAAAAAAAAGTTATTTTTCGAGAAAATTTTCTAAGATTAACGCAAAATATAAGTTGCACCTTGACCAAGCGGGGGGGGGGCATACCACAACCACAATGGAAAAATAACGGAAATCCATGAAATAATGAGGAAAGTTTCTCCTACTTTGACTTTCATTTCAGCCAGAGTTCAGGTGGGCGTACTTTCCGTCTTCCTGTGAACTTGGATGTGGCACATGGAGTGCCCTTGAACCCCATCGACAAAAACAGGATCTCATTTTTTCTCAAAACTCAACTCGCAGTGCAGTAAATATACACCAGATTTGCCCTTGTTCAGAGACACGCCCATTGAGAGTTTGAGAAAGTCAAATCGTAATCCATGCCGTTAGTTTTTTAGTTATGATTACTTCTCATACATATCGGATGGGGCTGTGCGTGGCATTTTAGGATAGCATCGAGGAGAATTTACCTCATGATATGTTAAAACTTCGTTGGGCGACGCCGGAAAGATTGTGGACATTCAGCTTTGAGCAACGATGTTTTAAAGAAATCTGTCATGCTCAAAGAGATTGTTATTGCAAGTCTAATCGAAGACTAAATTAGATAGATGCAGGAGCACGAAAGCGTAGTATGAAATTCAAGTGATCGTGGCTTCATAAGGTCATGAACAAGGGGTACAGTAATGGAATATAAAATATCCAAGGACAAATAGAATCATATATAGTCTTATAGACGGAGAAAAAACTTCGTGCGTGGGACCCGAAGTTGAGGTCATATGGACGGTCATGGAAGTTTTCGAATTACGTATCTAAAATCTTGAGGTCCAGCTGCCGAAGTTCAGGTCACACATCTGAAGTACTTCGGCTCATACCGAAGTGCCTCGATGTCTGACCCAAACTTCGGCAGCTGGACCTCAAGTTTTTAGATACGTGATCTGTAAACTTCAGAGATCCATATGACCAAAACTTCGGGTCCCACGCACGAGATTTTTTTTCTCCGCGTATGCTACCGGTAGAAAAACAAAGGGGAAAGTAAACAATAACAAATAAAGAAATAAAGAAAAATATATATAAAATTTATTGTCCGCGTTCCGGGCTCAAAGGCTGGAAGTTCCGGGCGTAGCATCCGGAGCAATCGAAGTTACGGCTCCAGCACCCGTAACTTTTGGCCTCTGAGTCCGGAACGGACGGTATGCCTATATAGCCCGTAACTGTTTTTTTAGTGAAATTAAGGGCAACATTGAAATACTGGCATCTCGAATGTAATCAAAGCTGTGCGGCTTACCTGACATGAAAGTCATCCAGAACTGGGATCCAATGTGCATGCTCAACGCGGAGAAGTAGAGCAATATCGAGCACGTGGAATTTCTAGAATCTTTGGCTGAGTGAGAGGGGTAGATTAGGGATGCTACCAGGATGACCGCTGCAACAGCGATTATGTGCGCCGGCTGCGTTGTTCTCAGAATGGTGCTGCAATCAAACGAAAAACCTCTGATTAAAATACGACTCTCTTCAATCAAGAGCTATGCTCGCGAGCTGTTAGGGCATTTAACAAACGCTAATTCGAGTGGATCGCTCAATGCCACTGTGAGCTGCACCCTGCACCGCGCACAGTGGTCCCTACTAGAGTCCCTTCACAGAGAGAGTTAAGACAACGCGGCTCATGGATGTCACAAACGGGAATAAAGATCACACAAATCGGATGTTTTTTGTAATATTTGATCAACCCATTCCCGGATTCCCATATCCTCTCACTTCTCATTCCATTTGTTCCTTGCTGTGCCCCCAAAATCCCGGTCCATTCCAGTTTATAATCTTTGCATTTGGTGAACTTGTAATCATTATCCCCTTTTGGAGGCCCAAAATACAGGAACCAATCAGGAATGGATTCGCATTGTCTTTACTCTCAGTATAAAGGGACTCTAGTCCCTACAGAGTTGCGCTGATTGGCGAAACTAGGGGGACCAGGGGCTTTTTGTCCCCCAAAAATCTACTTGGCCCCCTTCAGAACATGGTAAAAGATTTTACGAAATAAGTGCAAGACATCTCTGTCATATTTAAAATTGTACTTAAATCAGTTCACATAGTCAAACAGTTCAAAATTTCTCTTCTGATTTCTCAATTTTCAAAATTTTTTTGGAGAGGCCTCCCGAATCCTCTCATGAACCTCTCCAAGATAACCACGCCTCATTCGGTGATGTAGAACGGGGTAAAAAGCATCGCTTGCTCTTAAAATGCTTGGTGTGGATTCCAGGTCCTAAATATTTTTCTAGTCGTGGTTTCAATGTTATTTTTGGAGTAATAATTTGCTCGGTTCCAATAAGAATGCAACAGTGAGGTGGGATCTGGGATCCACTAGGAGAAGGCAACACGAATATTTTCTCTCCGTGAGGGTATTTTTGTGCCCTCCACAGCCCCTCAATGGGGTGCAAATCACACATTTTTCATGCACCGCAAAAAGTCATTGTTCCGACCAAGTTTGGCGCCCTTCCATTCATTCCTTGGTTTATTTTCTGAAATACCTATGCAAATGTCCATTCAAATTCACCTTCCAATTTTCTTCTCTCTGGCGGAGAACTTTATCATTGATCCATTGCTACAACTAATTTAGGTATGCGAGTTGTCGGTCGGTCGTTTTTGATGTACTGCATGAAGATTTTTTTTTTTGATAGATCGATTAATTATTGATCTTTCCTTGTAGAAATTGAGGCAAAAAGTAGCCATCTGACATCGCTAATCGTTGCTCATTTGACAAACGGGCGTAACTGCTTTTTTAGTTGAGCACTTTTGTCCATACGACTATATGCGTTCCAAGGCTCACGTTAAAATGAGGATAAGAGCAGGAGCGACAAAATGTCACCCATAAATCAAACTCAGAACTTATCACTCTCATCACTCGCCTTTGGATCGTAAAAGAAACAGCAAATCTAATCTTCTATACGGTTTGGCAAGGTGACTGACACAAGAAACCGGTTCAAGGAAACTGACTTTTAGGATTCAATTTTTGTTGACATGATCATCAAGGAGGGCCTTGAGTAAAGTAGAGGAAGTTTTAGTCTAGATTTTCCTGTTAAAACAGATAGTTCTCTGCAATTTTACGTAGGATTTTCAGAACTACATCTAAAAGTAATATTTCCCTTGTGATCTTATTGTGACCATACTCATGTCTTTTCTGACATTACCCATGTCGCATTGTCTTCACTCTTGAATTCCTTTTGAAATGTATGTCATTCGTAAAATCTTCCCTCTCGCGAAATTATTTCACACTTGACCCAATAAAAGACCGGTCAGCTAATCGAACGTACCAATTAAGTCTTGTAGGGTGAAAAACAAGAGATTACCTATCTATGGTCCAATTAAACTCGGAGATTATTGTCCAAATTTCTGTGCACAAAGGGTCTCCGACCGATGATAAATTCCACGGAGCTAATCTTACTGTGGTAATCGTTAATTAGTGATGTGCTTAATTTGACCTCTGCTCTACGTTGCCGTGCTAAGGAAGAACGTTGTATGAGCATTCGAGAGTTGCCAAATTTTCTGTGATAAAATGTTTATTTATGAGGAAAATTATGAATATTTTTCCTTGAAATTTTCAGGGACTTTCGATCAAAATACAAAGAATATTCTCTGAAAACTTGGTAGAAAAATATTCATAAGTTTACCAGGGAATTCGTGTTATATCGAAGAAAATTTGGCAACGCCTGAAGGTTCATACGGCGTTTTTCCCTAGCACGGCAGTACGAGCGTCAGCCAGACAGGAGTTCGGTGACTCTTTGATGCTTCTCATTCAAGTCAAGCATCTTTTTTTCTAGGCATGTATTTCGAAATCTCTAAAAATTTGTCTTTCGTTGCAAACGCAGGCTTTGTTTTCAATCCAAGTTCAAGTTCATTTGATTGTTTGCCGAGAAAAATTTCAGTCACACTAATGGCGTCCAACAGTAGATGATATTTTATCTGGTACACTTTTGCGTCGAGAAGTCAATTTTTATATAGACATTTTATGTTTTATAAGGTTATCTAAAATCCCATGTGCATCTTGCACATACGTTCGACATTAGATGAGCGTGCAGTCTTTGATGCTTTGAAGTTGAGGGTCACAAGTGCATCACGACGTTATGAGGAGAATGATTAATTTTTTGTAGTAATAAACTAAGCTAAGCGTGGTCAAATTCTATTATCCGGAAATAGAAAGTCAAATTCCGCAGCATACAAACAGCGCAGCATCAAATCGATATGGTCATAAAGAAATCTAGAAAAACTATAAAAATCATAAAATTATGAGGCCAGAAACCACTTTGGTCAATATTCAGTTTCAAGTAAAATCCATAATTTTGGTGTATGAATGCCTGTTCTAAATCTAATTTTTGTTAAAAACCAAATGTTTTTGTTTTCAAGACGAATAAATAACAAAACAAATTCCAATGATGCGATGCCAAATTTTCTACTCAAAAATTGAATTTTTACTAGAAAACCACATAACGTCTCTAACTGAATACTTCACTGATTTGTAATAGTATTTTTTCATACGGTATGCAAAAATCAGCAAAATTTTGGGCAAAAACTGCATAATTATGTGCCTGTACAAATTGTAATTATCTTAATTAATTTTGCAGTTTTTGAACGAAGCTACGTTTCCTCACCTATAAAAAAAATTTTTTCGGGGAATCCTCCCATTATTTGAAGAAGTGAAACTTACAGAGTACGGGGTTTTCTTCCCAAGAGAGGCTTCAAATTCATTATTATTTTTTTTATTTTTTGTTGTATAACGAAGTGTGTTATGACAAAGAGTGATAAGAGAACCGCAATTATTGTGACTTAACAAGGTCTGAGCTCGTTTTCCATCGAACCACCATCCTTAAATGCAATTGAGATTAGCGGGAGGAGCCTGTAATCAGATCACAACAACGGAACGTTCCATTTTAACATCTAGAACACTCTCTGCGTGATGATACCAGACACACTTTTTACGCCCTTGGAGCATTATGTGAGTCTTCAGAAATGGCAAACAGTCTAGTTTGGACTTTTCAGTTCCTTGAAACTTGTACAATTTTACTTCCTTAGTGTAAGATAATAAATTATAGCTTGCTAGGATTTATAATAATAATTTACATGATGCAGCCATTGAAACAAATAGTGTTCACGCACTTTACTGAACTGTTACAAAAATAAGTGCGGATACTTCAAATCTCAAAAATCTTGATACGTTCTTTTTGTCCAAATTAATATGCGCCCTCCTCTAAGACAAGGAGGGTCACAGAGACTATGAATACAGTTGTTAGCCTCTCAATCTTCCTTATGATAAATGAATACATGGACGAATGTCTCAACTAAATTTGTGGTCATTTACACGGGTTCAGAAATGATTCCGTTTTACCTTCATAGATTTTTGATCTCCCATTCAATCTACCCTTAAATCATTCAACTTTGTAGGTTGTGATGTTTCAAGATGGGATTTGACACGTTAAGACCTAGCACCACTCAAACTTTGGCCGTGGAGCTCGTGTAAAAGATGTAGCATTCCCATGTACATTCGAGTGAGTTTTATGTTTCAGTTCTTTGAAGACTTGACGCCAACGCTGAACCAGCGGAAGACAATGAATGTTTTAGGACTTTATTTCTTTTTCATGGGCGAGTGAGCTTGTAATTTATGACGTGAAACGTTTTATAGGTCAGCATAATTTTCATTCTAATTTTCTTTTTTAATGCAAGGCACGCCAATCAAACAGAAAAAAATCAAGGTGTCGACAGTTGATGGAAATTTAGTATTGAGGTACGCGTTGTCAAGATATTTTAAGTTTTTAGGACAAGAATGGTACATGCAAGAGAGCACGTAAACAGCAGTAGTGATTTTGAATACCAATTCCGAAAACATTCGGAAGTAATTTTCTAAAATTTTTGTCACGATGAGAAAACAAAGAATCACCCATATATTTCTTGTTAATTTTTTTTAGGGGACGCACATCTTCCAATAACAAGCAAATACCGAGATTAGTTGATTTTTGGTGGAAAAAAAAAAAAAAATACACGAATTGGATGAATAAATAAGTACACGTAATAACCAATTAATGATGTCTTAATCGAAATTATGTTCCAGTAAACCTGCTAAAATTCTCCCAAAAGACCATTTGATTTTTTATATTCTCAATTCCTGGTACACCTCCATTGAAAAGTTGAGGTATTTTACTAATTATGACCAAACGCAGTCTGCGGGTAATAATAGACAGAAGTTTTTTTTTTTAAAAGCGGGAGGTTCTTGATTGTAATGAATTAATTAATAAATAAAAATGCAATTGAAAAAAAATTCAATGTAGATGAGAACCTGAAGGCCAAAGTGGTGTGGTCAATTATTTAGAGGAAAATGGAGAATCACGAATACTTTATTAAGCCCTATCTTTTGTCTGCACCATTGGTTGCGGGGAATTCCTTTGTGTCCTCAAAGGAACTCATCCGAAACATACTTACTTTTAGGC